CATATTTCCTTCTTGATGTTTTCTATTTTCTTGGGGGTCTCCTTGAATACTGCCAGACCGTCGTCCCTGTATAGTCCCACTCTATTTCCGTACTTTGGTTTCAAGATCGACAGCAGATATGCTACGACCAGCTCGCATGACTCCGCGCCGTCGAAACTGCCCATCGTGACATCGAATTTGCTGTCTGCATTACGCTTTTTCCACGGTACCTGGTCGTTGAATACCACTGTCAGGGCGAATGTCACCAAAACATACAAGAAAACCGAGCAAAAGGAAGTAGCGGAAATCAATCGCGAAGCGAAAAGAATTGCTAAAAGTCTTGGACTGGGCGACCGCATAGATAAATTGGCCGAGAGGGAAGTCTTCATTACTTTGAAGGACCACAAGGACAACTTCGATAACAAACCATCATGTCGACTAATCAGCCCAACCAAATCAGAGATAGGACATATAAGTAAAGTGATCCTCGACAGAATCGTCGGTAAAGTCATAAGCGCGACAGGATTCAACCTGTGGAAAAGCACGGACGCCGTACTGGACTGGTATAAGAAAATCCCAAACAAGCAAGAATCGAGCTTCATAAATTTCGACATTGTGGAGTTCTACCCCTCGATAACGGAAAAGCTTCTCCTGAAGGCCCTAGGGTTCGCGGAAAACTACGAGAGCATTAGCAGCAAGGAGAAAGATATCATCATCCACGCGAAACAGACAGTGGTATTCAACGACCAGGTACCGTGGAAAAAGCGTAATGCAGACAGCAAATTCGATGTCACGATGGGCAGTTTCGACGGCGCGGAGTCATGCGAGCTGGTCGTAGCATATCTGCTGTCGATCTTGAAACCAAAGTACGGAAATAGAGTGGGACTATACAGGGACGACGGTCTGGCAGTATTCAAGGAGACCCCCAAGAAAATAGAAAACATCAAGAAGGAAATATGCCAAGTATTCCGGGAAAATGACTTAAAGGTAACGATCGAAGCCAACAAGGCAACAGTAAACTTCCTTGACATCACATTAGACCTGCGAACGGGAGGGTACAAGCCATACATGAAACCAGGTAATGTACCTCTCTATGTACATGTCCAGTCAAACCATCCACCCGCCGTCATCAAACAGATACCAGAGGGAATCAACAAGCGACTCTCCAACATCTCGTCGAGCAAGGAGGCATTCGAGAAAGCTGCCCCGGCCTACCAGGAGGCTCTGCAAAAAAGCGGGCACAAGTATCGATTGACGTACACACCGGGCAATAACACCAGAAAAAGGACTAGAAAAAGGGAGGTGACATGGTACAACCCGCCATACAACAAGAGCGTACGTACCAACATTGGAAAGAAATTCCTTCAGATAATAGACAAATGCTTCCCCAAGGAACATAAGCTTCACAAAGTGCTCAACCGGAACACAGTAAAGTTATCGTACAGCTGCATGCCGAACATGAAGGCAACGATCCAGTCAATCAACAAACGGAAGGTAAAACAGGAGGACGACGTCGGTGGTAGAACATGCAGTTGTCCCCGCAATGCCGAATGCCCGCTGAACGGGGAGTGCCTCAGCAAGAACATAGTGTACCAGGCCACCGTCACGAGCGAAGGCAGGAAGGAGGCATACGTCGGGCTGACGTCCACAACCTTCAAGGCGAGACTGGCGAACCACAAGCAGTCATTCAGATCCGAGAGCAAGAGGGCGCAAACAGAGCTAAGTAAACATATATGGGACTTAAAGGACGAAGGGAAAGACTATGAAATCAAATGGGACATAGTTCTGAAAGCACTGCCATACTCTAACGTAAACAAGAGATGCAATTTGTGTATAGCAGAGAAGTACATAATCATATGTAGGCCAGATCTAGGTACACTGAATAAGAGAAGCGAAATCGTCTCCAAGTGCAGGCATCGAGACAGATGTGTTCTTACTTCAGTGACGTAAACGCGTACTAACTTCAATGACGTAACGCGCGTAACGCGTGCGCGCGCTTGATTCGAAATAAGGTAAGATGCTACTTGTATTCTATTTTTCGTCATTCTGCTGATGAGTGCCTTATGGTACGAAACAGTCTGTTCAGAAAGAGAATATTCTGAATTTATTGCATGTATATAGCTCTACAGAGATGTATCGAGCACTGTGAATTGTGATAGAAGACGATTTCATTGGATATACTAGCTCCTATTTTTATAGTTGAGCACTCTCCTGACGTCGCACTTCAAAATGGAAAGAGTGAACTTTGAATATTCGACGAAGAATATTCCGGTAGCATCGAGAACAACATACCTCAAGCGCCTGATCGAGAAAACGGAAATGTTCATCAAAAGGATTAGATGGAGATCATTCTTCTTTCTGAATCCGGAGCTGAACAAAGACAAGGCGGAGAAGGAGGAAACGTACGGATTTAACTCGCGGAAAACACCACCAGTCATTCCGGAACTGAGAGAATTCGAAGACAATTTGGTGAGTCTGATTCAAAACGTCGAATTTGAGAAGACCACTAGCCAGTTCCAACGCAAATTAAACGAAGACATAAATACGATTAGGAATGATGATAAGCTTACCGTCAAGGCTGATAAGACTACAAATTATTACAAGATGGAAAAAGATGACTATGTAAATCTTGTCAGGGCGAATGTCACCAAAACATACAAGAAAACCGAGCAAAAGGAAGTAGCGGAAATCAATCGCGAAGCGAAAAGAATTGCTAAAAGTCTTGGACTGGGCGACCGCATAGATAAATTGGCCGAGAGGGAAGTCTTCATTACTTTGAAGGACCACAAGGACAACTTCGATAACAAACCATCATGTCGACTAATCAGCCCAACCAAATCAGAGATAGGACATATAAGTAAAGTGATCCTCGACAGAATCGTCGGTAAAGTCATAAGCGCGACAGGATTCAACCTGTGGAAAAGCACGGACGCCGTACTGGACTGGTATAAGAAAATCCCAAACAAGCAAGAATCGAGCTTCATAAATTTCGACATTGTGGAGTTCTACCCCTCGATAACGGAAAAGCTTCTCCTGAAGGCCCTAGGGTTCGCGGAAAACTACGAGAGCATTAGCAGCAAGGAGAAAGATATCATCATCCACGCGAAACAGACAGTGGTATTCAACGACCAGGTACCGTGGAAAAAGCGTAATGCAGACAGCAAATTCGATGTCACGATGGGCAGTTTCGACGGCGCGGAGTCATGCGAGCTGGTCGTAGCATATCTGCTGTCGATCTTGAAACCAAAGTACGGAAATAGAGTGGGACTATACAGGGACGACGGTCTGGCAGTATTCAAGGAGACCCCCAAGAAAATAGAAAACATCAAGAAGGAAATATGCCAAGTATTCCGGGAAAATGACTTAAAGGTAACGATCGAAGCCAACAAGGCAACAGTAAACTTCCTTGACATCACATTAGACCTGCGAACGGGAGGGTACAAGCCATACATGAAACCAGGTAATGTACCTCTCTATGTACATGTCCAGTCAAACCATCCACCCGCCGTCATCAAACAGATACCAGAGGGAATCAACAAGCGACTCTCCAACATCTCGTCGAGCAAGGAGGCATTCGAGAAAGCTGCCCCGGCCTACCAGGAGGCTCTGCAAAAAAGCGGGCACAAGTATCGATTGACGTACACACCGGGCAATAACACCAGAAAAAGGACTAGAAAAAGGGAGGTGACATGGTACAACCCGCCATACAACAAGAGCGTACGTACCAACATTGGAAAGAAATTCCTTCAGATAATAGACAAATGCTTCCCCAAGGAACATAAGCTTCACAAAGTGCTCAACCGGAACACAGTAAAGTTATCGTACAGCTGCATGCCGAACATGAAGGCAACGATCCAGTCAATCAACAAACGGAAGGTAAAACAGGAGGACGACGTCGGTGGTAGAACATGCAGTTGTCCCCGCAATGCCGAATGCCCGCTGAACGGGGAGTGCCTCAGCAAGAACATAGTGTACCAGGCCACCGTCACGAGCGAAGGCAGGAAGGAGGCATACGTCGGGCTGACGTCCACAACCTTCAAGGCGAGACTGGCGAACCACAAGCAGTCATTCAGATCCGAGAGCAAGAGGGCGCAAACAGAGCTAAGTAAACATATATGGGACTTAAAGGACGAAGGGAAAGACTATGAAATCAAATGGGACATAGTTCTGAAAGCACTGCCATACTCTAACGTAAACAAGAGATGCAATTTGTGTATAGCAGAGAAGTACATAATCATATGTAGGCCAGATCTAGGTACACTGAATAAGAGAAGCGAAATCGTCTCCAAGTGCAGGCATCGAGACAGATGTGTTCTTACTTCAGTGACGTAAACGCGTACTAACTTCAATGACGTAACGCGCGTAACGCGTGCGCGCGCTTGATTCGAAATAAGGTAAGATGCTACTTGTATTCTATTTTTCGTCATTCTGCTGATGAGTGCCTTATGGTACGAAACAGTCTGTTCAGAAAGAGAATATTCTGAATTTATTGCATGTATATATATATATATATATATATATATATATATATATATATATATATTCTAAATTTCCTGCTTGGTTAGTGTACTGAGCCTGTAGCCCAGTCGGTAGAGTGACGTTCTTCGAGCTTCAATCTTGGGGTTGGAGGTTCGAGACCCAGATTGTCACCAACGACATTTATTATTTTTTTCGTCAGAGCGAATGGGATGGGGTTGTGGACTGATGAATACAGCGTTACTTTTGACGTCACCACCCTTTGCAATCGGAGGTTTATATAATTATATTATAAATTGTCTGCTTGGTAAGTGTGAGCCGGTAGCTCACTTGGTAGACTGACCTTCAACGACATGAATCCCCCCCCCCCCCCCTGCGCTACGCCTATGCAAAGGTAGAGATTAGAGAATGCCTTTCCATTTTAATTCCCGGCCCCGCCCAAGAACTCAAGTCAGCAACTTGCGAAACAATAGGTGGCGCGCTTCTGTTTTGCCAGCTCGATCATTTGATCTGGCTCCCATACGCTGTCCACGTCGAACAAACTGATACGTGGCCGTTTACATGTCGGGAACCAGTCTCTCATTCCAGGTCCTTTTCAATCTAACAGGTGCAAATCCGACTGAACAGTCGGTAGAACCTGTCTAAAAATCCACCATCATCCATCCCAAACTAAATCTTAAACCCTTCAAACATCATGTTTAAAATTGTGCCGAAGTTCATCTTGCTGTTGATGCTGGTTCTACCGGCTACAGTACTTCTGTCGAGTCGTGGTAAGCGATAAATTGTGTTCATTTCGTAGCATATTGAGACCGTTGATGATCATTGAGGTGCTACGTGGACACTTTAACGCACGTAATGTTTGGACACTTTACCGCACGTAATGTTTGGAGACAAAATTTGTCGGGATTTCTTTCCGGGGTATGGGTGGGGGCTCTATTTTTTGTTTGTTAAGGCTTTTGTTAAGACTACATATACGTGATACAATTACTCCTAAAACTTTAATTTGGGTTGTAAATCTAATTTTGTTTTGGCATGTTTGGGGGATTTTGCGTGTTGCGCAGTGGCTATCGTTACGGCAGCCGTAACGCATTTCCCATTTTCTATCGTTACGGTAGTACTGCAACTTTTATAAAAATATGAGAAGAAAATATAAAATTAGAAGGAAAAAAGTGAACTTGAACGTTATGAATTCGGACTTTATTTCCCTTTTAAAAAAAATCCTCCAAAGCCTCAGATTAGAAAAGGAACAAAATTTGAGTGCAAAACAGATGCGAACCTGCAACCTCGCGGTGCAAAATCCTACCCTCTATTGACTGAGCTGTCGCACTGCTCGCTAAAACGTGGTGAAACAAATAATTATATACCTGTGTGCGTATCATAAAAGTATCATAGAGGGCGCTAAACAACGGCTGCTGTAACGATAGCCACTTCGTATTGCTTGTGCCATGGGCGTGGACTAGACGGTGTTGGGGGGGGGGGGGGTTGGCAGCTCCGGCTCTTATCTTGCAGTTGCACCTGGCTTGCCAGGTGCATGTAACATTGACATTAATTAAGTGGCACAATTGCAGAATATCCCGCCACTCAATCTATGCACCTCATAGCCTGCATGCTATGGAGTCACGGTTTATTGCCATCTCAGCGCTATCTACCTGTATGTAGGATGGAACGCCGTATTATCGCGGTACTTATCACGTTTCTCGTTCGGAATAGAGATTGCCCACTAACCTTACAGAATTGTCCTGTCTTATGTGTAGTATAACTCTTCCTTTTTTAATTAATATAAAAAAATCTGACGGGTGGTGTGGTTTATTCCGTGTACGATGCCTGTGAAAATAGACATGCGCGGCGTGTGCGAACGGAGGTGGACTCCCTATTATCGCGGTATGCGGGAAGGGGTTTTTATAAGATCCCAACTTTTTTGTTCATAGTTTATGTTTGACCAAAACATCCCCCTGAATAAAGTCTGATATTTTCCCTGTAACGTTCAAGTTGATTAAAGACAAAATGTCTGCAGGATGATTTCTTAAGACCCTGCCCTTCCCCCGAAAGGAGAACACAAATCCCCGAGGCAAGTCTACTGATCGGCGATTGAGGGCGCCATTCACTTTACACGGTGTGCCGTTTTATTTTCGCTAACGCGCGGTGCTTATTTTGATCCCGTAAAAGTTGTTACGATTTCGCGCTGCAAATATCGTCGTTCGACTTCATTTTACATTTGCAGCTGAAGAATAGGAATCAGACAATGGAACTTTCATGGACAGAGCGCAATTAAAGATTTATGTTAAAATATAAACGGTACCTTTTAGCAGACACGGTGAGGGAAAATTTTGCAAGTTTTGGAAAACGTTTATATTTATTAAAATCGTTAAAAGTCCCGAAAGACACAACATTTTTTAATCGTCCTTTTTATACAACTCGGTAGAAAATCCTTGATGACTGGTGAACTGGATAAAAATCGCCACTTGAAGGAGTTTTGACACTGTAAAAAGAGAAATTTCCCATGCCGCGATAATAGGGATGCCGCGATAATAGGGAGTCCGACTATACTACATGTACTATGGGTCATGCTCCTCTGCACTCCCATTCCGTATCTGCGTAACTGGCAACAGGGTAGTTGGTTTGGACTTAGAATTTTTGCAGCAACGCTCATTCCTTTTGTGTTGCTTCGTTCTCAAGCATTGTCAATGGGACTCCCACTCAGTATCCGCGTAGCCGGCAACTAGTCCGAGTAACTTTTTTAATATTTGGAGATGGTCGGGCGATAGTAGGGTCTTGGGATCATAGTGTACATGGCGGTATCAATAACCTCTTTTGACCACTTTCACTCGTACCCCCATCAAAAACTTCAGATTTCACCCCCAAAACAGTCCTCAAACTGCCTGATGCGCCCCTGTAGGCTTCAGTGGGCATTGAAAATACAAATGGTGGTGGTTAGGTTCACATACCTTTGGGAAGTAAAGAGAAATTTTGCCTTCAATTACGGAACCATCCTAATTATCTACTCTACCTTTTTGGTCGGAAACGTTGCAGCCTCGTTGGTTGCCAGTGCCCAAGCAGAAGACCGGGTGGAAGATGTCTTGGAAGGAGAGGACATAGAAGACGAAGACGACGAGGATGATGATGACGAGGACGGGCAGATTGAGACGGAGGATGAAGGAGCTGCGGGAGGAGAGAAGACGGCCGCGGCCAAGTCCGGGGATGAGGAAGAGGCAGAGGAGGAGGAAGAGGTTGAGAAACTCAAGGCTGCCGAGGATGTGGAGACCACTCTGCTGTTCACCAAGAATGCTGACAAAGGTTGGTGGTGATAGCTTGCTGTACCCAATACTTGGTCCCTTGTTGTATTGCGGACGAGGTTAACACAATTTCAAATAGCTGTAGTTGCAACATGAAATCAGCTCGGTGAGGTATCAAGGTACCTAACCGACTGACACAGTTTAGTAGCTTGAAATGATAGAAGATTGTTTTGAGTGCCGTTGTGCCTGCATTTTTATTGATTACTGCCTAACACACATAACCTAATGCTTGAAAGGGGTCAACAAATATAATGTTTGACATGCATCGCTCTGTGTTGCTCTCTTGGAAAATAAAGAATGTCCAGTGATGTGCTAGGCAAGGCATTTGGGCTGAGCTACAACCATCTGTCAGGTCACAGGGCTGCGCTATCAGTCTCAGCGCTCACGGCATCCGATCACTGGCGGAGTTTTTCCACCGCGATCGGTGCTTGTGATGCGTTGGGTCCTGTTGCGTTGATCCCTCCATGGAATCACTCTGTGTTTTTGGCGATGGCTTTGCATTGATCTCAACATCGCCATTCTGAGGACAAATCGTACCTTTACAATCCCAAATCCTTGTTAATCCGACACCTGGTTTTGTGTGATTTTGTTGGATATGATACTGCAGGACCCGGACACTGTCATTTTTGGGAAGTTTCTTTCTTAAATCATGTGTTATTCAAATCCTAAAATTTACTGGATTAGATTTCATTTTTCTTTGTGATTTTATTGTTCAGGACAAATGTTAATAAAGTTAAAATAAGTCTGATAATCCAGTTGGTCAACAGCTGATACTCCGGTAAAAGTAACAACAGCATCGGCATTATCTCTTGCTCTTATGGTGTAATATTTACGCGAGCAGTCGGACGTGCAAATGCACTCCAGCTGAACTGTGTTGCAGGACGCTTTGACTCACTCTCGAAAGTAAATTCTGGAGTGCCTAAAAATGCCGTTAGAAGGCTTACCTGCCGGTCAGTGGTACTGGTCTGGAGGGATTAGGAGAACCTGGGTACCTCAGGACATACTCATCATATACCAGGGTATTTTTATTGCCTGTGAGCTCTGAACATGACTTCATCTTTAGGCTACATTCACACGGATGCTTTTTGCTCTAAACTGTGTCTTGCTTTTGATCAGATTTTTAGGACAGAAGTAGACCAGCAGTCCAGTGATATTTCTGAGTGCTCATCGTTATTAATCCTAAAAAGCTTACAATAAACCTAACTTGGCCTAGTAAAGCCGTTCATGTTTTAACCGATTCTGCCAATTTATTTGGTTACAACGAAAGAGATTGTTCCTGTGCAATACTCAAAGTTCAACTTTCTTTAACCTTTTTCAATTTTTCAGAAATACCTGTCAACAAACTGATCCAGATCCTTGTCGGTTTTACCAACAACGGCAAGCAGAACTACATGGTTGAGAACATCCACGCCTCCCTGCGCTACCCACAGGACTTCACCTACTACATCCAGAACGTAAGTAGCTTGTGGTTTTCCAAGGGATTACTGACTGAGAAACAACAGGTGCAATGTTTCCCAGAGCACAGATAAGGCCAAAAAAAAAAAGTCTCCGGTTTCTGGTATGCGCGCGCGTCGCCGTAGCCATGCGCGTTGGCAAAATGAAAAAGTTTTTTTTTCAATGAAAGATGATGTCTCAAAACCGCCAAACTCACTGGTTTGACTGGAATCCTGCTGCTGCACAATTTTAACGTGTTATTAGATTGGGTTATGGTCGAGAATAAGCTTTATGTGGCCTATCTGGACTCCCATATATTTGCACTAAGTTTAGTCGGGCACCATTTGCAGTCATCAGCACACATATGAAGCAAAAAAATCAGGTAAAAAAAAAAAAAGCCGCGTCACCGCACTACTTTTTGGGCAAGATCCATACCAGAAACCGGAGACTTTTTTTTTTGGCCTAACGTGCAAACTCGTGTATATTGTATTTATGCATGCGTACAGTCTTCTTGATTATTCTGGCTGGTGTTCATCATCCATCCACCTGTTTATAGTCCGTCTGTTCACGAACTCGAGGGTTGGACTTCATGATGATCATGTCTTCTTGGTCGAATAGCTTTCCTCAGTTCAATGCCAGATTGGCATTGATCCGCAGCAGGCATGCAACTTTTCCTCGGATCCGCTGATTTCCTCGTTTTTTACTTCTCGTGAACGCCATTACAAATTGAAAAACACTTTACAAAGTCTTGTGTAGTTAGGAATTTCCTTGTTTTTCCCGAAATTCCCAGTTGCATGCCGACATTTCAGGTCATAGGAAGATAATGAATGTCCAGTGATGTGCTAGGCAAGGCATTTGGGCTGAGCTACAACCATCTGTCAAGGCATAGGGCTGCGCTGTCCAGTCCCTGCTTTCAAGTGTCTGATCACAGGTGGAGTTTTTCCACCGTGATCGGTGCTTGCGAAGTATGGGTTCTGGTTGCGTTGATCCCTGCATGGAATCACTCTGTGTTCTTGGCGATGGCTTTGCGTTGATCTCAACTCCGCCATTCTGAGGACAAATCGGACCTTTACGATCCGCAATCCTTGTTAACCAAATACATGTACCTGGTTTGGCATGCTTTTGTTAGATATGATACTGCAGGACCCAGATACTGTTCTTTTTTTTCTGTGCCTGATTTCCAGTTAGTGTTGAATTTCAGATTTTGTTGGGATTTTAGGATTTTTTTTTGGGGGGGGGGCCACATTTCCTGTGGGATTTTCAGAAAACGTGCCATGGATTTCCTGATGAGTAGAGGATTCAGAATAATTTCTAGTCAAAAATACCTAGCCTTTATGTATCTTTCACACTTTCTTTTTCTCACAGTTCACATCAAGGGAATACAACACAGTTGTTGAGCCAGGCAAGGAGGCTACCCTGGAGTACATTTTCCAGGCCAGTGAGTCCCTGGCGCTCCGACCGTTTGGCTTTGTCATGGAGCTCAACTACAAAGATACTGTGAGTAGATGACAAGATGCAAGCAAAGAATTCAAGGCCCGATTTCATGGCTCTGCTCACCGGAGAGATTTGTGCGCTTCAGATTTTTACCGTTAAATTCTTTTCTAAGCTAGTTATCGAAGAAGACTTTTGCAAAGGATTCGCCTTGGCCTTTTATATCCTGCCAACAGAGTTTGGTTACTTCCTAGATGTCAAGCCCTGACCTGATAATTTTGAATTTAAATATAATGGAAGACTGTGCATAGAGGTTGTGGGACATTGCCTATTAACATTTTTCCCCCGAGATAGATAGAAAACCGTCTATCCATGGACTACTTGTACCTGCATCAGTATGATGCATCCCTGGTAGAGTCAAACATTAAAGGAAGACTGTAGAATTTTTGTGATCAATAAATTTGCATGCTAAATCCACAGTTTTGCTTGTCGACATTTACAAAGCAAGAAACCAATGTAAGATTCGCAGAGATTATGTTATAAAGAAATAATAGTCCAATAGATTCAAGAAAGATGATATTCACGTTATAAACAAGTGCTTAACTTTGTTCTCTGTCCTGATTTTCTCTCTCCCCCCCCCCTTTCAACAGGAAGGAAACCCATTCATGGATGCAGTCTTCAATGACACGGTTCAGTTTGTGGAGCAGGACGAAGGGCTGGATACAGAAACGTAAGTCTAAAAGTGTCGGCCTCATTCTCAACATTCGATGCAGTTAATTGCTTCTCCTGAAAAATAAGGATAAACTATAACCATGATTTCCAATAACTCTGAATGGGCTCATTGAGCAAACAAGTGAGGGCGCTTTGGACAAACTTTCGAGAACCGAGTAGACGGGACACACTGCTTGCGCGTAATGGTTCGCGTGAGTATAGCGCGAAGTAAGCGCGACTAATTTTATTCTTAATATGCATAAAGCCATAGCGTCTCCGTGTTGCCGTCAGGCGTCGTTGCCAATGCGTTTGAATGTCTCTTCCAGTGGTCTTCCCCAACTCTCCCTTTCTTAGCGTCAAGGGGGTATTTGTGTTCGGAGCCCATAGCCTATATGCCTAACATTCTGGGACAATGCATCCTAGAGTCCCACCTAACTCTCTCTAACTGTTGAGGGGGTACTTGTGCACAGTCTATGGGGGTTTTCGAAATCTTTGCTTCCTCTTCGGCTTCGGCTTCTGAATCACTGAGAGGCAAACTAAGCACAAATATACCAACTATTGGCTTCACATCAACCGATTGAATGTTCCTGAAGCATAACAGGCACCAAAATGTAGCTGGAGTTCCAGAAGTTGGGGGCCTAAAATCTCCTTAAGCCGAAGACGAAGCCGAAGCCAGTCGTTTCGAAAACGCTCTATAAGGAGTCATACTTGGTTTACTCTGTACATGTCATGTTTCGTCTTTGTCGATGCTTTCACAGATTTTTCCTGTACGTGTTCCTGGTAGCTCTGGTCATCTTGTTGGCTGTTGGGGCACAGCAGCTGCTGGCTTCATATGGGGTAAGCTTAATCTAATAATATTTTTATGTGGCAAATTCCCATATATACACACAATTATATACACAAAATACATCAAATTTGATATTAAAACAAAAGAATACAAACAATAAGAAACCAAGTAAACACTACACTCGAAAGACAGAACGGGGACAGTGCAGGGCTGCCAAGGAGAAGAACAAAAGCGAAACAAAACGCTGTCGCCAATAGGGCGTGTCTCTCCAATCTTATCTTTATCCTGTACTTGGTATTCCCAAGACACTTGATCATCAAAAAAATGAAACTGTTGAGTTTTAGTCAAGGCAATCGTAAGTAACACGGAATGAATTATAACAAAGGGATGTCTTTGTCGCAGTTTATTTGAATGGTTTGTCACATGACTTCAGACAGGATGAATTAAGATGCAATTTGATGATTTGCGAAGACTTGCATCCACTCTGGATTTTCTATGTTGACACATTTATTTGGGTCAATAAGTTAATTAACCCTAACTCCCTAGGCATTTTTGCTAGGATGCAACGTCAATCCTGCAAAATCCTCCAACTACCTCTGTGCAAAAATTGCATACAGCCTCCATCCTGCAAAATCCTCCATAATTTCATGAATATAGTCCTTGGAGGGGTGACCACTGCCTCAATCCTGCAAAATCTTCCAACTGTCTCCATGTAAAAATTACATACAGCCTCAATCCTGCAAAATCCTTCGTTATTCCTTGAATATGGTCCTTGGAAGGGTGACCACTGCCTCAATCCTGCAAAATACTCCGGCAACCACTGTCAATACGTTGAGGCAGAACCAGTGACATCCTGGAGCAGCGGAGGATTTCAAGGATAATCTAGGCCTAAATTTGTGCACGGCTGAGCATAAACAACACAAGGTCTGGCCTAAGACCTTGACATAGTGCATCCTCCAAAATTAGCCACACATTTTTGCCATGTAGCCTGAATCCTGCAAAATCCTCCATTTTGCAAAGAGGATTTTAGAGGATTTTGGAAGGTTAGGGTTAAAGACAATTATTTGATTTTCATGCATTTTGTTCATTTCCAATAATAACACCACAAAGATTCAACAAACTAACCTGTTCAATTTTCAGCTCAGTAGATATTACACTTTTTGAAAAAACTGTGAAAAACCCTACACAATATTTTGATCACAAAACACAATTTCATCCATAGCGTCCTTTATTTCCCCCCCCAAAAAAAAAAAATCAGTATTTCATTGATTGTTGGAGGATTTTGAAGGATTGAGGATGGATCCCAACAAATCCTGATAAAAAAAAGCTTGTCCACAGCAAGATCTAACTTCCATACCTGGATATTACATAACACCATTCCCTTCCTATCCATTGGAAAAGGGTCGTGAATATTCAGTTTCGAAATTCATCAAGGCTTCTCTTTATTAAATTCCACATGCCATATCCCAGCTGACCTGAACTTAATACTGAATGATAAGCCCATAGAGATAGTGTTGACTGTGTGGCCTTCTACATGAGATAACTTATCTTCCCTGAACTAGGGTATCATAAGTATTGTTACTGTGTTTTAGGGTCAATTTCTTATAAGCACTCTCTATGTACAGTAAATTACAAGTACAGGGTTTTTTTTCCTGCTTGATTCATCATCCAATTTATTTAATTATTTTTATTTTACAAATTTAACGTGAATAACTTCAAGTAGTAAAGACTAGTTCGCAAAGACCGGGGTGAATTTCACAATAGTGTGTTTTGGGGTAAAATTCTTATATGCATTCTTTGTACGGTGAATTGTTTGGCTGCTTTTTTTTTTCCTGCTTAATTCATCATCCAACTTAAAAAAAAAAAAATAATTTTCAAATTTAACCCTAACTCCCCAGCCTAATTTACTAGGAACCATACCCATTCTGGCAAATTCCAACACCCACATGGGAAATTGTACACACACACTGTTGGACTTAGTTTCTGGAGGTATGCCAATCCCAGTGTAAAAGACCATCAGTTTAGGGGTACTGTACCTATCCCAACAGATTTAAACAAAACCTGCTGTTGAACTTTGATGGGTTGAGTTCAGTAAGGGTTAACGTGAATAATGTCAAATAGTAAAGAGTAGTTCATAAAGACCGGGGTGAATTTGTTATGAGGATAAACAGTGAATGTCACAATACTTTGTTTTGGGGTCAAATTCTTATAGGCATTCTTTGTACAGTAAATTATTTAATACAGATTTTTTTTTCCTGCTTGATTCATCATCCAAATTTTTAAATTTACAAATTTAACGTGAATAGCATAAAATAGTAAAGACAAGTTCACAGAGGCCGGAGCGAATTTGTTATGGGCAATAGTGATTGTCACAATGAAATGACCAATGTCTCAAAAGACACGACAGTTTGAATTGAAGATTAAGGCTTTTGTGTATTGTGATTTTATTTTCTGCAGAAGAAGAGGAAAGCACCCAAGCCAGTTGTCGAGACGGGAACGCAGAATCACACAGGTATCGACTACGACTGGATTCCCAAGGAGAACATTGCAGCCAGTAAGATTAAAAACGCTCCTGTTCGATTAGTTACAGACAGTACAAAATTTCTTTCAATTCCTCTGCCATGTATTTGTATACCGACGTTTAAAAGATCGCATTTGTGTAAACACTGTGACTTTTCAAATTCCATCAACAGACAAAAGAGGGTAACTGGTAGGTACAGCTGGCATAGCAAACACCTCCAGTCAATGCATGGTTACGTGAAATTAACAAGGGAATTCTTAACTGTTAAAACAGTCACTTGATTGATTTTGATGGCTGTGATGACGTAGCTGAATTTGTCAGCCAGAAAGGGAGAGAGGCCCCCATCAGAGGTCCATTCCCCCCCCCCCCCCCTTCCCCCTGGTGCCTCCATTTAAAATCTTGAATTGCACAAAAACAATTTACAGTTGCCTTCAGTGCCCCCTTAAAAAATTGGTGAAACCCTGGCTTCCCCCCCCCCCCCCAGAAGTTTAGCCCAAGTTATGCCACTGCTTACATGAACAAATGTGCTACACAAATTTTTACTCACCAGCACTGAAATTTTAGGGGAGTCTGGCCTAGTGGTTAAGGTTTGGGACTTGTGGTCGGAGAGTGAATGTTTGGAATCCTGTTGCTGGCCATGTATTGTGTCAGTGGGCAATCCACTTCACCCTCACTTGCCTCTCTCAACTGAAGAGTATGAATGACTACCGGTGTCATATGAAATTTTGTCTCTAACCCTCACACTTGATCTGTCACTGTCCTAATTATCTTAACTTAGGCATTTGCAATACAACCAAATAAGTTGGTATTTCATAGTCCCAATTTCACTAGGTGGGGAGTAAAGTGCGATGGACTCGCATCCCAGCAAGGGGAAATTGATAAACTCAGTCATTTTATGCCCAGGAATCTGCAGATAAAACACCTGTATCACCCAGAACCCTTGTGTTTAACGTTTTTCCCTCATGTTTGCCCCCTCTGCAGAAAAGTCGCCGTCACCCCGCAAGTCCCCCCGTCGGCGCACCAAGAGAACCACAGGTTCTGGAGACGAGTGATGCAGACTCATGGCTGCCTCATCGTGTTGTCATCTATAGTCAGAATCTTTTTTTCTGAGGGTTAATATATAATTGGGTAAACAAAATTCATTATCAGTCAACATATGCAGGCATATCACTATGCAAATAATGCATTGCATTTCTACTTTTTCCTCTCCACGGGATGTGTGATAATTCTCAAATTGTCTCAAACGAAACCATGAGTAAAATTCTTTCAAAATACGGCAGATAGCCTGTATATGTTGCAAATCCATAACCCTCTCAGATCCTATAAAAATCCACCAGAGAGGTTTGGAGGTTTTTGTAGGATTGAGGGAAGTTAGGCCCCAGTCTCTATGGGCTCCGTGCACAAACAAGAGAGGGCGCTTTTTTACCACTTTGAGAGCCTGGTCAGTGGGGCACACCTCGTGCGCGTACTGGTTCGCGTACGTGTAGCCCAAAGTACGTAGGACTAGTTTTGTTCTGAATATGATATGCACAATGCGAAAGCGTTTTCGCATGCGCACCAGGTGTTGTCGCCAATGCGTTCGCATGTCTCTCCCAGTAGTCTTTCCCAACTGTCCCTTTCTGACCGTTGAGGGGGTACTTGTGCACAGAGCCCATGGGCTTGGCGGCCCTTGAATGTTTAAGCAGAAAGAATGTGACATTGCTTTCATGCTCGGTGATAGTCTTTGGAGGACTCAAAAAGGTTTCCTAAATAAAACTTTGCCTCGGGAGTTAGTGTTTGAGGAATAATTGTTGTCCTTGACTGAGTTGACTGATAATGAACCGGATGTTTTTTTATCACTCACACAAGCAAAGTCTGAGATGTTTTTTACTTAGATGGTTCGTGACAACTTTCGCCTTTTCCCCATTTTTGTTTTTTCTCAGTTTCCATAAACCTTGCAATCAATTTTTCATCTGCCATAAAACTTGGAGAATAAAATACACCTGGAAATTTTATACTTTTGTCTGTCGTGTGTTTTTTGATAGTATTGGTCCAAAATACATGTAGATATTTAGAAACAACGGAGTGCAAAAAAAATAAAAATAAGATTATTTTATAAAAGATTTTTTTTGTAAAATAAGCCATTTGATGATGTAAATGATTTTAGAAGTGGATTAGGTCCACAAACAAAAAACAGTTCATTTGTTGGTCACGTGCATGCCGAGGAAATTCACAGTTGACTAATATTTTGGATGTTCACATGTATGGCGGTGTAAATATATTGAAACATTGCATCATACTAAGCATGCAAGATTTGTTGCCAGTGTTAAATTTCAAGTTATGAACTGTCGAATTCTAAGCTCTAAATTATTCTGCTTTCCAGATGAATTTTGTGATAAAATATTTCATGATATTTGGATAGTGGTAGAGTACATCTGTTCTTGAAGCATTGCTAATTTCCATAATGTAGCATATATGCACTGAGTGCTACACTTGGATGTGAATGCACATCGCATTCTTGAAAGGCATCAATTCCTAATATTGCCAAAAACATGTAGTTTGTGAAAAATGTTTTGATTTTCAAAAGTAAATTCTTTTCTGAGCTGTAGTTTTGTTCTCCAACAATTACACGTGCTGTTTGAATGAGCACAATTTAGTAAGTTGTCAATATCAAAATGTGCAAAAGATGAAATCTTTTTAAGTTGGTAATTTTCTAGTTGGAAACATCAAGGTTGATGTCTGCATATTTATGAACTGCAATTTTTGTGGGTATACCTTCTATTGTGAGATTATGGGGAAATTCTAGTTGATCGCAGTAGGGCAGACGTTTTTGACTTTCCTCTTAAAAATGTGTCGGTGTTGATGTAAAACAGTTGGGATTTTTGTGAGATCGGTGGTGGGCTCTGTTAGGGAAGACGTGAGGTTCAGGCATTATTTTGGTAAGCTTGAGGTCGTGTGTGTGTGAGGTGTCAGTTGGTGTTGGCTTTCTTTGAAAATGCTTTGCTAGATTGGTACTTGATGCGTTGGCCGACTTGTGATCAGCCTGCAGATGAATTTCGCACTGATATTCATGTGAAGTTTGAACCGGTATTCTATGAAATTTGGACTCCAATGAAATCTGGTCTCTTTTACCTTATATTGACTCTAACCCTAACCAAGACCAGTCACTGTCCTGATTATCTCCCGTGTACAACCAATGAGCCAGTATTTCATTGAGTCTGTATTTCACACTACACCAGCCTTGATTTTAAGTCAACCAGCCGTCAAACACTGATGTATCTTAGGAACTTTCTCTTGTGCTGTCTCAAAGTGGCCATCTTGAATGATCTTTCTGTGTGCTGGTATAGACCTTTATATCGCCGACGCGTGGTTGGCACATTTTGCGAACCACGGGTTGCCAAACTATGGAAGGTCAAATGCTGCAAAAGTGAACAATAGTTATTCATTATTACAAAAATATTATTGGATTGTTAAAAATACATTATCAACAAATGGTAAAAAATAATTCCTAAACATGGAATTTCTTGGGTAATGAGGGTGTTACGATTTTTTTTTGAAAAATATGTTGCCAACCACAGCTTCAATTTATGCGCTTTCAGCAGCCCATACAACATGGCGCTCAACGTTTACAAACAAAGAGTCTATTGTGCTAAGACTCGGGCTCATATCCAGAATAGACTGGTGCTGTCAGTATAGTAACCAGAAAGTACATGTTGACACTTGCGTTCATAAGGAACCCATTCAAGATGGCCGCTTGTGACTTAAAACACAGTAAAACCAATATTTTATCTTGTATAAACTCTCGAAAAAAAATATACGTGGTATTTAGGATCTATTTACCTTAAACCCAAATGCGGTATTTGCATTTTTGCGTTGGATTTACTTTCGCTTCAGAGTTATATTAATAGAATTCGAAATTGCAATTAATGTTTCAGGGGGAAAAAATTGTCCCGAGGTTCACTTTCATATTTCAGTTTTCTTTCTTTCAGATTTTGATGTTTCTGTGTTAAATTGGTGATGGAATTTAAAATTCAACTTGTTTTCTTTCTTTCTTTTTTTTGTCGGTATAATCCAAAGGAAAATTTGTTTGATATCCAACTCGAATTATGATCAGCAAAGTCAATACAATTTAAATTAATTTGTAAAACCTATGGAATGAGTTGGATTTAAGTTTTAAATGATAGCATTCCTTGCTAAATGTTATTGTAAACTTGAAAAAAAAAAGGAAATAAATTTTCTGGAGATAATTTCCAGACTGATCGATTATCAGTATTTTTTCTTAATGGTTATTAGTTTATCTGAATCGTTTTAGTCCTGTGTGCTTTCAATTAGATATGTGTAAATCTTATAACGAATTATACTGGTATAAGAAAACATGCTTATTTTATACTGGCAGTTTTAAAGTTCCATAAAAGCTCAGATCCGGGGCTTATTGTTATGGTCAAATAATTATATATTTCACATGAGCTTACAAGTATAGAATCAAAAAACCGATTTACTTAGGAAAACAAAATGCATTTGTTCATGTGCAACATACATGTACCAATGCTGTATTTGACACGCCCCTACATATTCTCTTTCAGCCACACCTTTTTCAAGAAATGGGGATGGGCTTTAAACTGGTGGCGATTTGCATCGCTTGCGTAACACGTCATGTGATTGTCAACGTGGCTAAGTGCCAAGATCTATCAATGTTTTCGGTGGTCACTTTTTGCCTTCAACGATGGGAAAATATGACAACGATTTACGTATTAATATAGCATGTTTATAACAACATGCTGAAAGCCCGTTGAATAAGGCAATCGTGCACTGAAATTATCAGGAACTAAGACCTGATAAGTGGATATATTTTTATCACACAGATATTATCACCCCTTCGGTCATCAAAATAGAACATCCTACTGAATATTCAGATATGGTTACTCAGTCCTCTGATTGGCCAACCGAACGTACCTGTCAATCATCAGTACAACGTCGCAATTTGATTGGCCTTTGATGACGTCACGTATGTTGACAACTGGCCCGAGAACGTGCAGCTGCTCTCTGTTCGGGCAGCTGATCACTGCACTGCGAGAGGTCGATCGTTCATCAGAAATATTTTGCAAAATATCAACAATGACGGAGCCAGAAATGTCCGTGCCAGGAGCTGTTAATCTAATAGAAAATCCTGGCGTTTCGAGCCAAGATGTCGTCGACTGCTCCGAACCCCCTCTGAAGAAATCGAAGACCGAGGTAGTGGTGGAGACGGAGGAAGACCCGCAGGAAGAGGACTTGGAACAGAGGCTGAACGATATCCTTTGCTGCTCGGTCTGTCTCGATCTGCCCATCAATTTAGTGTACCAGGTGAGGGGGCAAAAAACCCTGGCCACTGCACTCGTTGTGCTAGCATATGCTTGCAGGACAAATCATTTACAACTCTAAAATAATATTCAACTAAATAAGTAAAAGAGTAATGTGTCATTTGTCAGTTTGTGTGTTTTTGTACGGGGAAGGAACTGATGATGGCAGATGTTTTGTGAATGTGTTTAGGCCTATAACTCAAAGGAAAACATATGCCTGCATTTTTTTGGCCCGTTTCCAACCTGTGACCTTGTTTGGGAGTTGGCACCGTGCCCACTGTGTTGTTGCAGGTCACTCTGACCATGGAGCTGGAGGTAGGAATACCTCCATGCTACCCATACAGAATACAGTAAATTCCACACACACTTTATGCATCGAAGTTAAAAACCAGCCAGTGCCAGTGTGTCATGGCCTAGCAGTTAAGAGCACCGGACTCATGCTCTGGTGTTTCAGAGCATAGAGGCAACAGTGGCGTGGGTTCGACACCGGGCCCGGACACTTGTGCCCTTAAGCAAGGCACTTAACCATTATTGCTTCGTCCTTCGGATGGGACGTTAAGCCGGAGGTACCGTGTGTTGTATAAGGCCTAACGCACATAAAAGAACCCAGTAACACTTATCGCTAAGAGAAGGAGGTTTGCCCCGGTGTTTCTGGCCTCCAAGTTATACCATGGAGGTAGTTTGTACTCCCTTGTGGAAGTCCTTAGGAGAAGAACCAACCAAGTACCAAGAGCAAGTGGTTCTTTTTCTTCAAGTTCATTTATATTTTTTTAGACTTACCCGACTTAAATAAAGTCCACACCTCAGGAACTGACTCACATCATGGAGGAATTCCTCCATGCTCACATCGAGAGGACTTGTTACCAAATTTATTTTCACATTCAGACTGCGTGCATAGTTGATTTATGCTTTCAAAACCAGTCTTAATAACAAATTCAGAATTTGCCGCTGATGTCAGTTGTCCAGCTTTTGTGTAATTTCCAGCCGAATGTGGACGTTTCCTGGCATCAGTTTGTGTGTAACTCAATTGCAACCGTGATCCAGCTGAACAATGCCCTCGCGCTAATCCTTTCTGAATAGTGCGCCCTCGTGCGTGTACCATCAGCCAGCTAGCCGTACGATGTGCGTACGCGATCCCGTTCCTGGTAACGATTTGCATAAATTAAGGGTTAAAAATTTTTCCTGCCTGTATGATAATGATATGTTACATCTGACATCTATGATTCTATAATTCTGATGCACTCCCTAAAGAATTTACAGTCATCCTCCAAGACTATAGTCCTAATTATGAATAGCAACCTACCTACCCAACATATAAAAAATTATTTTAAGTCATTTTAAATGATACTTGAATGGCAAATCCCTAAGTACCAGGACAGGGACAGGCAAAATGTCACGCTTTTAAACCCTATTAAAATTTATTGAATGACCCACCACATGTGCATATATGTAAGGGTGTACTCATGCGTGACCACACACCCACAGGTATCACAGAAGACTTGCATTCCGCAGGATTTACCCTTATTGTGTGAGGCACAACTGTTGGTCAACATGTGCCCTAATCTCCTAGGTATACAAAGGCCCAAAAGGGGGGCGTGACTCCTAACTCAGTAACTGTACTTTGCAGTGCATAGATTCAGTCGTTACAGTTTGAAGGTCAGATTACCCCCAAACAGGGCTGGATTTACCCGGGTGCACGCATGCACCAGTGCATGTAGATTCTTGCTTGTGCAAGTAGCTTTTTTACTGAGCATGCACGACGTGCATGTAACTTTTTTAGCCACCAAAATACTCATTTCATGCATATATTTCCAAATGAGTGAGAATAAGAATAAAGTTTGTTGAATACTTGACCAGATAGTGTACAAACGTGTTATTTCTTTAATAGGATAAATTATTCCTCGCAGCAGATTTAGAGTTGGCAAGATCTCGACGTCCTGCAACCTCCTCCGATCATGCATGTGATTTACCACTGCGGATAAGTTGGTATCACACTGACGCTCCGGGCATTCCTTATGTCCGGATCATAAGTGTGATTCCAAATTATTAGCTGCGTTTATCAGGTGGTCTCGTTATTAGCCAATCGGACGCCGCCTATCATATGCGCCACATGAAGCAGACGGGTAGCTCGGAGGGCTCCGATAACTTTGCACGCAAATGACCCTGGGTGCTTGTGTCACTTGTCGGGTTAAAATCTAATTTCAACACGTTCGTATGGGTCTACATCGACGGCAAATTTTGTCGAAATGACACATCCTGAACACGCGGGAAGGCAAATTTAGATTTCTATGTAAGTACTCAACATATGTACGAAATTATGTATGGCGGATCAATTTCGCCATGTTCGAAATGCCACAACAGCGTGGCGTATACAACGCCACGTTCACAGGTCTAGGCTTGAGCATGATCGAGTAAAAAAGGGGTCAAGGCTATGTACTGTCTGTAGAAAGTTCGATAAATCAAAGAGAAAGAATGCCTTCAGAGAAGCAGACAGGTGTAAGTCAATTATGGTGCATGTGGGTTTTTCTTGGTGCATGTAGGTTTTTTGGTCTACATGCACCAGTGCATGCCACTTTTCTTTTGTAAATCGAGCCCTGCCCCCAAAGTGTGGATGTTATCCATGTTTTACTCTGGCCGCACCTCAGCAGACAGTAGTTCAGTTTTATTTCATATTGAACTTTCCAAAATTCTAATTGTTATAAATTTGGCGAGATCCAGTACCTACATGTAGGGCAGTATAATCTAGGGTTACGGAGTATGCTTATATTACACATTGCACAGGCCTGCCAGCTCTCATGCATTGAGCGTGAGACTCATGCATTTCGGGTTATTCTCACGCCCACACGGAATTTTTCACACTAAAATTTTTTTTTAGTAAAATTAAAAAATGATGTTTAAATGATGATCTTTTGCTAAAAAAAATGGTTAAAGTGGTCAGAAATTGCCTCAGATCGAACCACAGAGCGTCTAGAATCCACCTTAACCAGTTCACGCCGGAGGCTGTGTATACACGCAAAAGATTTGCGGTATTCGGAGCGGGTGGCAGATAAACATGCAACGAGCAAGGCCGAAAATATCTGTCAGTGACCCGCGCCAGCGAGCGAGGCCGGAAATATGAGTGTGCTGCCACGGGTGGCTTCAACCCGCCTGGCTTGAGGTCGAGTGAAAATTAATCCTGCGCCTCTTTCCGTTCTTGTCAAAGTCATCCCTGCGTGAACTGGTTAAGTGGGCCCCGAACCCCACGCCATTAGTGCTTCGCGCACGCATTAGTTCTTATCAAAGCTCCATCATAAAATTCTCACTCTCAGCTCTTAGTACTAAAAGCTGGCAGCCTTGCATTGCAACAGCCAAATGATGTACTCTTCTAACTATAATGGAGAGCCACACCTTTTTCCCCCCATACACAAAAGTCTCCATAGGCTATTGCTGTTGTTGTCAATGAAGTATGCCAAGAATGCTAACAACTGTAGTTCCCTGTTGCACACTAATGGTTATACACATCATGCACTGTGGGTGTCTAGTGAATAAGGGTGTAAAATGTTCAATTTTATGGGCATTGAATTCCATATTTTCTTAGCTATCTACCATAATTTCCTTTTCATATATTGCCAGAATATCCTTTTTAATAATATATTGCCAGAATTTCCTTTTCAGTATTTTGCCAGAATAAAAAAAAACTACCATATCGAGGGAAATTTTCAATCAGTGTTAATTGTATAATATTGGATATGGCCTTGATTTTACGAGCTATAACAATGTTGCGCAAGTCGAAAACAAGTGCAATATTGTTACTGCAAGTGCAATATATTCTTGTAACCTCCAAAAAAGCCATCCAACATTATTATTATTATTGTTTAATATCAGGCTGACTTGATCCAAAAAAAATTCCAAGTTACTATCTTGTAAAAATTGCTGACCCATTCCTGAGTACTTTAACATTAACTTGAACAAAATGCACGCTAGTGAAAGCTTTTCCAGCATCTCAAAATCCGTCAGTAGCTTCTTCCTAGTCAGTAATTCTCATAGAATTACCACTGTCATCCTGGTTCATTCCTAGTATTTTTAGCATTGTTACTCTTGAAATTGTCATCAAATTCTTCTTCAGAAACCAAAGCAAATCTCGCCCCACTTAAGCAGCCATTTCTGTTGACAAAACTTAGTATCACATGCGCGCACGTGTGATCACTATAGCTCTGTTCAGTGGTTGTACAACCGTGGGTATTCTACTTGATTGTACAGGAACCAGCACAATTTGTTAAAATGCCAGGATCCTCATCCGGGTTCTTTTACTGACATAATCTTGCAGTCATCCGGGTACTTTTTTTTACGAAAGCATACAATACACTGATTTCTTTTACCACTGGAAGTCTGATATAAATAGTAATTAATATGTAACCCATTTTATTTTGGGAAAGGTATCATGCTTTTGGTCTGTAAAATAAAACTTGAAATCCAATATTTGGTCTCATTTCATCGGGAATTAGCATACCTCCTCAAATGTGGCAGCTAGTCATGCAGTAATATTGTTAATTTAATGAAGATCCTAAGAAAAAAACAGAATTCTTTATGTATGTATATCTACATTGTATACACGTAGTAAGTGATTGAACGTGTCATGTCGTCTAAATGATAGTAATTATAATAACAAAAGGTCAAATAATAACAATATTTCACTGACCATGACCTATTGTTGACTCATATCCCATCTTTCCTATATGCAGTTTGAGGCTCTTCCTTGAATAATTCATGTAAATGTCAACCGTAGCATTTGGTTACTATTAGTGAACTGGTATACGTTCAAATACATGTACATGTACATAGTATACATTTTTGTACATACAGGCATGAACAAGGCAATATGTACATTTTTGTGGCTATTTTTGTCACATTTTCGTGGCTATGTTTCAATATTTAGTGATATACATCAAGACACGTCGGTGCCATTTTAAACAATATTCCCCTCTATTTTGCATATGACTACTTACAATGTAGTAATGCCAGATACATGTACTTCGTTTGAATATAAAGGGCTTACATTTACATGTTTGTTCATATCAAATGACAGAGGAAGAATAAACGAACACATCAACAATGAAATCAAAAAAGTAATCAGAAAATCCTTGAGTTTGATGTGTCATCAATAGAAGAGCCAATGCAGATGCTGTTTGTTGATTGTTTTAGGCTATAGCGTTAATGGCTGCTTGCATTAGACAGTTTGGCCTTGATCCAAGCGATCAGAAAGCAGGCTTACATTGGATCATTTTCATTGCGTGAAGGCCTGGACACGTACGCACACGTCAGCTGCTATGACTGCTTAAACAATGAAGAATCATTCAATATTATATAAATTGTTAAAACGAGGCTCGCCGCACCCGCTACATGGGCTTTTAATTTGCCGCCTGCCGCCCGCTTCTCGGTCGAGTCGCCTGCTTCTTGGGCGAGTCGCCCGCTTCTATGGGCATTGCAGACAGCACTTGAGGCTAATGCGAAGAAGCTACAGTTTGTGCATATATTCTGGATAAAATTTGTCTCCGTATACTTTGCCCCATATACGTACCTAAAAGGGTGGGCACATGCGCCATGTCTCCCCAACTCTGCGATTGAGAGTCTATAATATACTGTGAAAATGGGTTCTTGGTGTTGCACTGTACTATACCGAAGTGAGAATTACTCCTAATTTTTTTGTTAAAAAAAGGCAGAGACTTCAGATAAATTAACAAGGCTTTGCCTCCCCGTGAAGGCTTTGCTGCCTGCTGCCCGCTTTGTGAACAACTTGTAAACACAAACAGACACACGCACCTTTTGCGGTGATTACATAGCTGTGATTTCACCCGAGTGTTCTTTTTGTTAACTGCCAGACTGCAGGCGTAAAATTTGACTGATTGTTCTTTGTGTTTTCGTTTTCTCTCTGCAGTGTGTGAATGGACACCTGATGTGCGCCGGTTGCTTCACGCACGTCCTGGCCGACGCCCGCCTGAAAGATGAACAGTCCACCTGCCCCAACTGCCGCTGCGAGATCGGCAAGACGCTGTGCAGCCGCAACCTAGCCGTGGAGAAGACAGTGAGCGAGTTGCCGGCGCTGTGCCCGCACTGCTCCTGCAAGTTGCCCCGTAATGTTCTGGAGCATCACCAACGCTCCGAATGTCCGCAAAGGTACACAGCCTTACCCTGCTGTCGACGTGCTGTGGTCGCCCACCCAGACCTCAAGCATCTAGTCAGCAGCATCGGGTGTAGGCAGGCTTTAACGTAGGGCCCCCTCCCCCTCTAACTAAGTCCGCCCCTCCCCCCTAGGGCTAGGCTAGGGCCGTGTTAGGGTTGTAGGGCGTAGGTTTTTCTACCGTAGGCCTAACTCTGTATACTTGTTTCATTCTTGCTCACCCAAGTTTGCTTGACCTCCACACAGGGGTATGTAAAGCATTGAGCTTGTCGCTGTTTTGATGGAGAAAAAAAGCCGGTGGGTACGGTGAGTATAACCTTACAGGATTGGTAAGTCCTTACCCAGACTGTTCACGGTTCTTTGGGGGTGTTTGCGCAGTCTCAGGACACACATGGTGGCTTTTGTGCATATTTATAAAAAAAAAAAAAAAGGCCTCCCTTTTTTCCTGCCAATTTTATTTTTTTTGAATTAAAAGAATATTTTTTTTTTGATTTTCAATGATTGGCAATGATCTTTCAAAAAAATAAATTCAAGAGTGCAAGATTTTCAGAAAAATATCCCCAAAAAAATATTTCATACAAACAAATTGAAGAAAAGCAGGAAAAAAGTTCTTGGCAATTGTGAATTTCTAAACATTGAACACGGTTTACACATTTGACAGCATCACGTAAAGAGTGCACCTTTAATTTCTGATCAATCGAAAGCAGGCTGTTTTCCTTCTCTATGTATGTCTGTTGGCTATGGCTGACCTCGCAAAATGCATTGCGAGCTCTAATACCCGTTTCCTGCCAGATCTAAACCAGACTAAAATCAAAACAAGGAAGGGAATCTCGGCAACGGACATTTCATGTGACTGAAAAAAAAATAACATTTTAAAAGAAAATGTAACCTCAAAATTCCAACATTATGTACATTTTTCAAAATTTTAGTCTCAAACAGCAAGCAACCAATATTAAAATGAAATTCTCATTCTAAAAAAAAAAAAAAATGAAGAATTTTGAAGAAAACAAAATCAGATTGTTGGAAGAATTGAGAGATTCTAAATGTGGTATACTACTCAATCCTGCTGAATAAGCTACTTTGGGTTGATAATGGCATCAACTGTTACGTGGATACAAACCAATCCAGTGACCTAAATACACATGTTAACATCACCTGTTTTGATAAAGGCGATGTTATATTATTTCAGTACTATTTTTTAGCAGACAGCACATGAATAATTTTTTAGTCTGTGCCGAGCAACTGGAATAAATCGTTTTAGAGTTAGCTTTGCTTTTACTGTGAATAAGCCAGCTCGGTATTTCAACTGCGCATGCACACAATTATGGGTCATTCAGGATAATCGAAGGCATGTGAACGCGCATGAGAGATGGGCGCATGACACTCGCGTGTAGCAAAATGGGCGTTCGCGCAACATCGCGTAACATCTTGTCAGCGATTTTTTTTTTTCCCAATGACCTTTGACCTGGACTACTTTATTGAGACATCGAACTGGCTTATTGAGTACATGACGTTAAAAATGTAAAAAAAAAAAAATTGTGGAAACGGATCTGGTGGGTAAATTAAGGTAAAAAGTCACAGTCTAGTCAACAGAAAATACAGAATTCTCAACAACAAAAAAGAAATTCAATTATTGCCTGAAATATCAAATTGAGGTTAAAATTTCAATTTTTAGTTTTTGGATTCGATAATCTATTTGAAAAAATAACATTGACAATTTGACATGTCTACTGGAAAATGACATGTACATGTACGTGGAGTAAAAACAAATTACACAGTGTGTACCGTATTTCCCAATATATTTTTTTGGCACAGACGACCAAATTTATTCTTTTCACTGAATGACTAATTCCAAATTCTTTATTGTTGAACATGTAAGCCGTGTTGTGAGAAATTATACAGTAACATTTCTTAAAACACTGTGGAGGTGAAATTAACATTATATTCACTGCCATAAATCAGTCATGCACAATATGCGCATGCCGCCGGGAGTGTGTTCCAGACTGTGCAGTGCTTTACCAATGGACCGTGAAGAGGCTGGTGACTGACATGTTGTGCCTTCATATCTCAGTACCATCTGCAGAAAAAAAAAAAGATTTTTTTTTATTCGAATTCTCCTGGGAATTGGCAATGTTGCAAGAAAGGTCAATGCAGCTTTTGGTTGGAAAAAAAAACAAAGCCAAAATCTTAAAATATTGTTGTGTTTGTCAAAATAAATGCCGCTGTATGTAGTACGTACATTGTAATTGAAATGGATGCTACATGTTTTGCAAAAATGAACATCCTTGTTGTGATCATTCTTTGCCAAATCATTTCATTTTGACATATGACTTCACTCATTTTGGAAAACAATTATTTTTTTTTCTCCAAAATATTTCTTAACTCCGCTCTTAATGCCTGATTGCATTGATTTTTGAATTGTCAGGGACTTTCGGAAAGTATTTAACATGAAATTTATTTCACGAAAAAAGAAGGCAACATTAAATTAAAGATGAAAACAGAATTGTGTAAAAACTCTTTTTTTAGATATCAAACTGAATTTCATAAAAAAAAATATTTTATGAAGATTGGAGATTTTGGGTAATGGCCAGTATACTAGCCGATCATAAAAAAAACTTAGTCTTTTTTACATTTTTTTCTACAGATCTGTCACATTGAAGGAAATTTTGACACATTAATGTAAAAATTTCCTATTTTTACAAAAGGTTGGGCTAAAAATTGAAAAGTAATTCTTATTTGAAAAAAAAAACTAATATTTTGGAGACAAATTTTGAAATTTTAAACGAAATTTGTTGGCATTCAATTTTTTTTTCGCACATGATCAACAGATAAATATATGTTTTTTTAAATTTTATCCAAATGAAAGTCAGTGATTATGGCACCGAATGACCCATGTACATGTATGTGTGGTCTACTGCTAATGTATAGTCTACCGGTACCTTACTTCAAAATGAAAATGTTATGCTCCGCCATTTCAGCAAAGGCCAGCGATCTAATACAGTTTCGAAAATATGCAAGTTTGACCATCCGCTGTCTAAATTCTCACACGAAACATCTTTTCTGCATTTACATGTTTACAAACGCAAAATTCCTCTCCATATTTGGAGAATTCTAGGGGTAGTCTGTGGTTTACCAGATATGTCTACATTCTTTTCCCATTGTTCATCAAAATCTATGCATGCGTGGCATGACTGCTTTAGAACGACAGAAAAAAACATTGATGAAAGGGTGTGGAATTGTGACTGGTTGCTACATGTACGTGTGGCTTTACTTTTAAGAGTCATCCAATTAGTAATTGGCAGATTGGTGACGGGGTTGTTCATTTGATGATTAAATTTAAGCATGAAATTTGGCACACAGTCAGAGTATGTCATGAGAAAGATATTTGGCTGTAGGGCCATCGCAGATTTGTCCTTTGAAAAAAATATAGGTATAGCAGTACTATAGGTAGAATATAAAAAGCAACGGCAGCCATTTTGAAAATTTTGAAAATTGCTTGTTATTCTACAAAAAAAAATTCAAAGTACAAATCTGCGATGGCCCTGTAGCTCAGTTTCTCTCTAGGGCATGTTCTTACTGTGTGCCAACTTTCATGCTTTTATCATCAATTGAGCAATTCTATCATATTTTGCCCGAATCTGCCTGACTAGTTTGGTTGCAAAATGAATTGAGCCGAAGTAGGCCTAATTAACAGTGATTGGTCAAACGATATGCATTCCTCACTTTTAACAAGACACTGAGTCTGCAATTCCTGTCAGACCAATACAAAAGTTTCATATTTGCACATGCAACACTGCTTTTTCCCCGTTTTATTTTTTGTATTTTCATGAAGTCTGAAAATATGACTTTGCAGAAAGAAGAATTAAACTGCCTCACAAGACCCTACCTGTTTAAGATATTGTGATGTGAAGTGAAAGAATATTATCGTCAATATAAAACTTGATTCAGTCCAAAAAGGAACTCCAAACGAAAATTATCTTTTGAAAACTCTGAGATATATTCATAAGGTACAACGTGTCGGTCTTATTAATTTTGATAATGCCTGCTATTTTTGATAACAGACAGCTGTGGAAACCCGCGGATACATGCACACTTCGAGAAACGGACGTCGCTGCCATTTTGGATTTTTTTTTTCGCACAGTTGCCGTCCGAGACGAAACAAGTTGAAATCGCAATTTTAAATTACCGGACACTGATCAACAGAACACGTTGGACCACAAGAAAAGAAAAAGCCCAGTTAAACTTTGATCACCAAAATTGATGTACAAACTTCACTGGCAACTCTTTTGAATTCTATGGACTCCTTGCAATGAACAGTAGAAATAGTGCGTCGAGATCACTGATTAGAGCTCTGTGTCAGGAAACACTGCGTGTTTACAATTGCGTGCATGGCACAGAGTACGCAAGGCTTAAGCCCGGTTCATACTTCACGCGCAGCGAAGCGATATTCGTGACGTCAACAATACGTTGGAAGCGCGTCCACCATTGTTGACGACATGAAGTTCGCTTCCCACTTGCTTTCGCGTGAAGTATGAACCGGGCTTAGTGGTATTCTTTATCTTCAAGCAAACTTGAATCCTCGATCCTGACACTGTCCCGAGCCCAATTTCGATCGCTCTGCACCACAGAATTCCGCGCTTACAATCACCATTTTGTGGTAACAGAGCTAGCAGAAAAATTCTGTGCTAACCATGTTAGCACAGAATCCTTAGTTACGGGATGTATGCATGCTCGTAAGCCAAATTCCGCACTAATCCGTGAAAGACACTTACCGTAAGCACATAATTTTCTCCTACAGTAAGTAGGGATTTTTCGCTTACGGTAAGCAGAGCCAAGAAGTTGGGCCGAGGTCTCGATATATCGCATAAACCATGTAAACCGCATATCGCGCTATGCTAAGATGCGCACACTATTCCCACTGCACGCATAATAACCATTGAAAATTTAGTTTGTGTATAGCGAGCTCGTTCCATCTACACTGTGCGTCAAGTTTGCTTGAAGATCAATTTGTTCCTCAGCCTCGTTGCATATTGGACACAGACACACTACATTATTCCATGTTCCACTTGCGCTTGTAGGATACTTATAAAATATGCGCAAACCCGTGTCATCTTTGCATGAGCGCCAGGCGTACGACAACAATGTGTTCGAGAAAAGGTTCTTTGAAACCGTTGGGAGCGCTTGTGCATGGAGGTCATAGATATGGTAGAATCAAAATTTTGAAATTCTCTGCCAGTGTAGCAATGTTAAACTTGATTGTGCGGACTAAATATTTGCAAGAGCTCATTGAAAAAAGTTCATTGAAATTCTATAAATTTTGCAAATTGGCCTTTTTTCCTATAGTCAATATAAATGGTAATTTGTTTTTCATAATTTAATATGAACGAAGTTTAGCTGGGCTTTGAAAAGTTATTGTCATAAGTTGTTCATTTTAATTGATAAAGTGCTTTAATTTTTTTCTTGGATTTTATTTTCTATTTTATAATGTTCCTCTTCTAAATAAGCAGCGACTGCCGATAATAGACGTTAAAATTGCTGTTGGATCATTCTAATAATAATTATAATAATAATAAGAATACTCTAAATAAAAAAAATGACATCAAAATTTGAGGACTGAAATTGAGTGAAAGGAACAAATTCATTCTGATAACTCCAAAAAAAGCTGCTGAATATGAATTTTTGGTACTTTTGTGGCAGAAATGTTGTGAAGTATACGCAAAATCATTGCCGGCTAAAAATGGAAAAGCTCAAAAATGTATTGAAGTGTAACTTTTGTGGCAGAAATGTTGTGAAGTCTACGCAAAATAATTGCCGGCTAAAAGTGGAAAAGCTCAAAAATATTGAAGTGTAACTGAAATTAATTGAACCAACTTCAGTCCTGAAGTTAGAACAGACTACATGTTTGCTTGTGAACCCAAAAATACATTCACACATTCAGTGCCTCGATCATATCCAAACAAAAAGTGAAACAGCTCTCACAGACGCTTGCCGATCACATTTCAAAATTGAAACGATGAGGCGTGCTACAACACTGAGCTAAAACCATTTTATTGTTTTCATTTTCTCTGCCTCAAAAACTCCCTCGACTATTTAAAAAAAAAAAAACCTCAGAGTTTCCAAGTGTGGCTACGCTCTGATTGGCTGTGACTGGAAGGGACCCAACTGCGAGGTCAAAGGTCACGAGAAGGACTGCGAGTATCCGGGCAAGACCGGCGCTGACGTCATGGCGTACGTGGAAGAGTCCAACCAGTCGCTTCAGTCAGAGATCAGGAGCTATCAGAACATCGTCAATCTGCTGTCCTTTGAGAAGCTGGCTTTTAACGGTAATTAGCTCAAACACGACAATATGGATAAGTTGTAGAGTTACGCACTGTTCCAGATTTGGCCACAGCCCGACCAATTTTACATGTGGGTAACATGTGGATGTCTCCCTAATGCCACAATGCATGTTCCTGCTGCGCACATTATGCGTAAGTGTAAATACATGTTTGACTTTGCCCGCTGTGAGCGGTCAAAACAGCTTTGGGTGAAGCTTCCGGATTAGTCAAATGTCTGAAATTGGTGCATACAAGAAAACTTCCCTTTCTGAAATGTGTGTCTCTTTCCTCTGTTAGGGATTTTCCATTAGAATGTGTTCATTGACTCCTTGAAGTTATTAAGATAGAGTGCCTTGAACTGGGCATCGTTACAGCTAAACTATTGACGGCGGTTCATGTATCTTCCTAAAAAATAAATACTGGTTCCCCGCACTTAACAACTTTATTTGGTATGATTCAAATCCAGATTTACAATTGCGCCCGTACCGCACCGACGACTTCATCACCAAGCTGTACTACGAGACCAGCCGCTTCAGCGCCCTCAACCAGCAGTGGGTGATCAAGGCGCGCATCAACGACCGCGAGCGCAACCCGCTGCACACCGCGGACCGCCACCTGACCTATCAGCTGGTCCTCAAGAGCCGAGTCAACAACCCAATCGCCTTCCACTTCATGTTGCTCAGCGGGCCGTTCACGGACATCAAGGTGGAGCCCGCGGTCTACCGGTTTGAGTTCACCGGCGACCGGACCGAGAGCCCGCACCAGCTCATGCCGCTGACCAATCCGGCCAACGGCAACAAACTGCTGTCGGCCAAGACCATCAACGTCAGGCTGATCATGTTTCAGGTCCAGAAGTAAAATATGACCAAAAGGCTGGTTCGTGCTAGACGTGAACGAAAATGTAAATTTGCAACGCCCTGGTAGGTTTTTTAGTCTTTGTCAAAGACTAGATTGTGGATTATGTTTCCTTTAGACAACTAGTTCCTCTTGGACAAGTGTAGCTGAAGATGCCAAGGTTGTTAAGGACGCTATCGAAAAGATGAATTAAATCCAGTTATGGGAAGAAATTCCAAACAGTAACACATCTTATGCAAGGGTGAGGTATGCTTGGAATTTCTCAGGTCCGAGTGCGGAGACTCCCAAGACTGGAGTTTATTTATCTTATTGATGGCATCATGTACTGCCGTGGCAACTTTGCTGTGCTTGCCATGGCCTGGCAGCATTAACCCTAACCCCCTCCCGAACCCTTCAAAATCCAACTGCATGTTTTGTTGGAATCTGTGGAATACTGCACTAGTAAACTGATCAGAGTTGTAACGATTCACTGAATTTTGTGACTCAAGTCGAGTCGAGTCATTTCAAGGAATTGACTTGAGTTGAGTTAAGTTATTAGGTGAAGAAGGTCGGGTCGAGTCAAGTCGAGTCACAGCGTGTGGTCGAGTTGAGTTGAGTCGAGTCAAATTTATGCTTGAGTCAATTCGAGTCACTGACATTTGAACACCATGTAATAAATTTCTAAAAAGAAGAAAGAAAATCGTCCGAAGCCGATGATTAAACCAATTTGGACATGCGTTTAAAGTCTGGTTCCCGGATAGAAGTTTGTGTGCTACATTATAAAACCATGAGGTGGGACTCTAGAGTCAGTGATACAGCGTATTTTCCTATGCGATAAGCAGCCACAACTTGACGGTATAATGTGAAGTACGCATGCCAACATTAATTACTCTGTACCGTAAGTCACTGCGTTATTAGCCTTTGACTGGAGTCTTTTGATGAGGGACTCGAATTGAGTCGAGTCATTTGCTCTCAGTGACTTGAGTCAAGTCAAGTCGGTTACTCAATGGGACTCGAGTCAAGTCGAGTCACCAAAAATTGTGACTCGAGTCAGACTCGAGTTGAGTCTTTGACACGAGTCATTACAACTCTGAAACTGTTTATGCTTTACATGGGGTCAGGCATACAACCATAATCAGAGTCCAACGGTTTGGGTGTAGAGTTTACCATATGGTGTTGGATTTTAAAACATTCCTAGTCAATCACTCAAGGGGGTTAGGGTTAATTAAGGTAAACATAATCTAATCCTAGTCTTTTGTCAAGACTAAGTTACTGCTTGGAGTTTGCAAAAATTGAACAACTTTCAACCCATTGAATTTCGTTGCTACCCGTTTTCATTCGCATGAGGTATGAACCGGCCTCAAAACAGGGTGTCGGTATTTTTAAATTATTTTTTTTAATGTTAACATTCTTTTTTGTATGTCCGGTACTCAAGCTAATTGTATATTATCCAGCATTTTCTTTCAATCTTGTCTGGCAATTCGTCGTTTGCAACAAGAGTAAATCTCAAAGCTTTGTTCTAAATAATGATTTTTCTTGGTACAGCAATGCAACAGAAATATGTTTTGTTTCCTTTAGGGAAAAACGATGCAACCATTTGCCTTATAAAATTGTGGCTCTTCAAAAAACAACTACAACAACCACCAAACAAGAATAAAATATACTAAAGAAGTGTTTTAACTGTTTTCTTGGGCTGTGGGGACACACCTTGTTCAATTTGGTTGTGAGTCTTTACCTGTCAAAATAAAAGAGAAAAAAGTTTAAAAAAAATTTTTTTTTCTTTTTTAAAGGCAGAGTGCATCATTTGCAGCTATCCAAAAAGTAACTGACGAAATTATTGTTGAAAAGCAAGTAAAGATGGTAATGGTTCTAGACTTCCTGTGAAATTATTCTTTCTGGCATGCTGTCATTTTGAAGAAAACAATAACAGAAGGCCATTTCCAATGATGTGTCTAAAGACGCATTTTTGGAAATTTCCGTAAGTAGTTTGTTTTTAATTCGGCGAAGCCGTGAACGAGTGTCCGCAAGCGTTGACACAACGCACATGCTCGTGCGGTTGCAATTATTCATCAGTTCAGTGTGTGACATCCCATACTGGTACATGTAGTTGCAATCAACTGAATGAGAACATGTCCCTGACGCTACTTTCGGGCGCAATTCAAAACATGACTCCGCAACTTTTTAAATTGAAATCAAGGTCCTAGAATATTGTTTTCTCGGAATATACAACTTTCACTGAGCTGAAACTCATCAGGTTAGTTGTTAAGCACCTTTCTTTAGATATCGAGCAATTTTATTTCTTCCAAAAAACAAAAAAATGCACAAATGACAAATGATGTACTCTACCTTTTAACAGTGCTCTTTAATTCCCACATAGATTGAAATACCAGAATGTACAAACAGCAGAAGGAAGTGTCCCAAAGAAAGTTCAAAAAATGTTTCCTTCCTTGATCAAATACACTGGTTTAAAGCCAGGGTACTATCATTTCTATTTCAAAGTCCTGAGTATCTCGTGAATTCTCAGTTTGGTGGAAAAATACACCAAACTAGACACCTCAGATATTTTCAAAGTGCTGTAGAGTTTGTAAAATGTATATTTAGGCACAAGAGATGATGTTGAAATTGTAATCTTGTGTTATACTTCAAACCAAATCATTTTGTCCAACTTATTGTTGGTGATTGAGTTTCAAGTCTTGTCCAAACGTTTTGTGGGTGATTTTCAAGACTGCAAAGACTTTATTGGGATACGTCTCATGTCACTCTGGTCAAGTCCAAAGTCACTCTGGTCAAGTCTCAAGTCACTTTGGTTGAGTCTCAAGTCACTCTGGTCAAGTCTCAAGTCACTCTGGTCAAGTTTCAAGTCACTCTGGTTGAGTCTCAACTCCGGTCAAGTCCCAAGTCACTCTGGTCAAGTCTCAAGTCATTCTGGTCAAGTCGTAAGTCACTCTGGTCAAGTCTCAAGTCAGTCAGGTCAAGTCTCAAGTCACTCTGGTCAAGTCTCAAGTCACTGTGGTCAAGTCTTAAGTCACTCTGGTCAAGTCTCAAGTCACTCTGGTCAAGTCTCAAGTCACTCTGGTCAAGTCTCAAGTCAATCTGGTCAAGTCTCAAGTCAATCTGGTCAAGTCTCAAATCACTCTGCTCAGGTCTCAAGTCACTCTGCTCAGGTCTCAAGTCACTCTGGTCAAGTCTCAAGTCACTCTGGTCAAGTCTCAAGTCACTCTGGTCAGGTCTAAAATCACTCTGCTCAGGTCTCAAGTCACTCTGATCAAGTCTCAAGTCACTCTGGTCAAGTCTCAAGTTAATCTGGTCAAGTCTCAAATCACTCTGCTCAGGTCTCAAATCACTCTGCTCATGTAGGTCTCAAGTCACTCTGCTCAAGTGGTCAAGTCTCACGTCACACTGGTCAAGTCTCAAGCCACTCTGGTCGAGTCTCAAGTCACTCTGGCCGAGTCTCGGGCACTCGGTCAAGTCACAATTCTGGTCAAATCTCAAGTCACTCTGCTCAAATCTTCGAGTCTGTTCAGACAAAACAAGGGAGGCCAAACAATATAGCACCCAATAATATACAATTGAAGAAGTACCTGTAGGAATTAATACTAATGTTGACAATTTTAATCATCTATATCTGAAATTATATCATATATAACGTATATTATATAATATATAATTGCTTAATTACTAGCTGTGTAATATGTATTATAGACTGACGTGTTGAATAATGTTAGCGGGGCATTTTAAAATGTATCATTTTCATTGAAATATGACGGAATCTAGTTTGTTAAACCAGTGAGTTTTGGGTGTTTTCCCCTTCAAATTGCCAAGTGCATTTTGTAAATTCGAGAAATCGGTACAAATTTTGATTTGGGACAAAAACTGAAAAATGGACAAACTACGAAAATGCCCCTGCTTGGTGCATTTAAAGAGTATTACAGTTTAATATCAATGTACATGTATAAAGGGGTTATTTTCAAATTATTTAATTTTGTATATTGTGTCTTGAAAAATAATTTTTGAAACATTATCAGCGTTTTAGCATAATAGCAAACAAGGCCAGTTTCCAGTCTGTTTTGCGTAGAAATTTCCTTCTGCCCTCTTTTCCCTACAATAACTTTCCTGATTGGTCATTGATTATTCCAGTATTTTACCTCTTTATTTCTTAACTTCCTAAGAAATTACTGACACGAAGGAGCAGTCCTCTTTTTTTTCTCTCTACAAAGATACAAGGTTTTTTTTCCAGAAAATAATTGTAAATACGTAGCACCACCCATGCAAATTGTATTGTAGACATTGGAAAAGAAAATGAATCTTTTAACTTTTAATGGAAATCTCTAAGGTATATTTTTCTGTGTGAAACGTACTGTTGAGAATTGACGTTCTCCTATATTGATGGGTTTTGTGAAATGTGCAGTATTAAGCAATAACTAGAATCGTAGGCAAATTAGCCTCAAATATATAGACAGATTGCATTTGGCAGCCATCTTTGAGGTACACTCATGTGTATCCATGTTGAACAAAGGCACACACCTCAGATATGGCTGCAGCGATCTATTGGTATGGGCTCCTTGCCGGTATTCTATAGGAACACTACAGGGTGGTGCGAAAAGAAGGAAACCCACTTTTGACAGGAATTTTAACCTACTTAACTTTTTTGAAGTGTATTTTTGATAATGCAGTGAAGTATAGTTCTTCAACCATACATGGTGAAAAATCTTAGAAAAATCACACAAATCGTGTTATTTTGCTAATTTGTAAAGTTCAGTGTAGTGTTTTTTCCTTCAAATCAAGCTCCGGAGCTCAGTCAAGCGGGTGGAATAAAGCCGCCCGTGGACAAACAGGTTTGGCACATGACATTTTTAAACTACCATATCTCAGAGACAAAATAAGTTTGCAATCATTTTTTTCATCACTTATGTTTAAAGATCAATACCTAATAGCATTAAATTGAATTTTTGAAATATGCTCAACAAGTAGGTGAAAATCGCTGTCAAAAGTGGTTTCCTTCGTTTTTGCACCATTTGTATAGGAACTCTGAAAGGTTCCTCTTCAGTGTGGTATTTGTAGTCAGGTCCTTTTCTAAATGCCGAAGGTACTCTGCAGCATAACAAACTGGTACAGCAGACGTTGAACCAAAGAAACTAGACAGTGTTCCACATATTTTGGGCTTTTGACAATGGATAGCAGAATATTCGGACAAAAAGGTGTGCTGAAAATTTCCAAGGTTTCTGCAAAAAAACGATTGTTACTCCTGTGTGGCCATACTCCTTCTCATCCAGAATACTCAGTCAGACTCAGAACAGCCTTTGTACATTTTTAGGTTCTAACAAAGCACTGAGAAGTACCTAAAGCTATGGGCCTACGCTTGTTAGTAAACACATGTGGAACAGATTCCAAGGGATGGTAGCCCTTCATTATTCAGTTTCCTGTTAGCAGACGTAGGTCGGGTAATTTATTGTCCCAATGCAGGTTCTGGGATTGTTTTGCGGCGTTGCTTGGTGCTGTCGAGGAACTGCCTAGTTAGTCTTTTCCCCGTGCCAGATTTTGATGGCGTTTCCCTGAAATGAGAGTATTAACATTGTCTGGAAAACACAATACTGTTGAAAAAAAAATGTGGGTTTTGTCAAAGAACCAAATTCTCATTTAATCGCTGAAGGCACAAGTATACAACATTGAGAATAGAAAATGATGGGCATTATTAACACTATTAAACCTACATGTATATTTGAATATTTATTGCAGTATATATTTATCATTTTTTTAAAGGTTTTTTGGTTCAAAATAATTTTATTCATGTACATGTACCTGTAACATTATTAAAAAAAATAATTTTATTGATTTAACAAAAATATGGATGATTTATCCTGGTGCCTCAAACTTACGAATCAAGGTGTATCAAAATAGGTGAACAAAATTTCTGAAGTTATTCAGAAATTGACCAGAACGACCACAAAAAAATTACTTCCTCAAGTCCAAATCTCGGTGTTTTAATCATTACCTTTTATAAGTAGAAATGTTATACTACATGTAGTTTTAAAGCCCCTGACCAGTATTAATACACTGCTAGAAATTTGTAACTTTTAGTTATTGTTTAACAAAATATTCACATAAAATTGGCACAATGAAAAAAAAGTTACAAAAGCATACATGTACACTAATAAAAAGTCCTTTAGGCCAAAAAAAAAAGTCTCCGGTTTCTGGTATGCGCGCGCGTCGCCGTAGCCATGCGCATCGGCAAAATGAAAAAAAAAAATTTTTCAATGAAAGATGATGTCTCAAAACCGCCAAACTCACTGGTTTGACTGGAATCCTGCTGCTGCACAATTTTAACGTGTTTTTAGATTGGGTTATGGTCGAGAATAAGCGTTAAGTGGCCTCTCTGGACTCCCATATATTTGCACTAAGTTTAGTCGGGCACCATTTGCAGTCATCAGCCGACATTTGAGGCAAAAAAAATCAGGTAAAAAAAAAAAAGCAGCGTCGCCTCACCACTTTTTGTGCAAGCTCCATACCAGAAACCGGAGACTTTTTTTTTTTTTTGGCCTTAGTGATAGCCTCCTAAAATTGTGCACGTGCATGAATGAACAATGAAATATACACTTGGCAACAAATTCATTAATGGACCTTGTGCATTGCAGCCACCTTAGAGGGCAACATTTATTTTAACTCAGTAACGGTAAATGCACAAAACGTTCACTCATGCATATCAAAGCAAAACCAAGGCATTGCCCTGTAAATTGGCTTCTACGCATAAGGCCTATGCGAGTATAGAATACAAGTATGAGAATACAAGGACATGAACATTTTGCATAATGAAAACAATTCATTCTTATTATCAAGTTTTGTTTTCTTCTGTTGTCAGTGCATTCACCATCTATATGATATCGCCATGATGGATCCAAAGTGAGGCTCTATGCACAAAACATAAACTCTTTCATTACTTGACTAAGAGGTGGCCAAGCTGTCATGTGAGAGAACCCATTCAAGTGGCCAAAGTTTATAACTATAGCCTCACTTTCAAGTCAACTACAATGGGTCCATTGATACTCATTGTGGAAAAAAACACCTAAAACTGAAAATAAAATTAGAAATTTGGAGAACAACCAATTGTTCTTAAGTCCGTCACTGAGCATAATTGAAATTGTAGACTCTTTGTTTGCTAATCGTTTCGGTCTTTCTTAGGACCATATCGTTTGGCCCACTTATTTTGTTGATTTGTATATTTCAGGTCAATCTAGTCAGCAGTTTGCAGCAGTTTTTATTAATTTTCACTCTTGTTTGCTGTTATAAGTTTTTGGGAAAAATACTTGTCAGTTCATTTAATTAAGAAGTTGATCAAATGCAACAATTGTGAACATCAGCCTTCTTGTTTTAACAATTACACCTAAAAAGCCAATTCGCATTTTTGGTTAGTCACTGTGCGCTGCACATTTTTGCGTCATTAGCTTTTGGCCGTAAAAAATATGCTTGTCGCGGTCTGCAAAAAAACTGCATCCGTCATAATTTTCAAAAAATTGATGTTTACTACATGTTGACGTCTCGCAACACAGAATGCTGATGTATGTGTTTGCTGTGTACGGGGGCTTCCTAGAAATCTAACCTTCAGTATTATAAATAAAGGCCAGGAATTGTATGGGAAAATTCAACCTGTTGAACAGTGTCAATTTCTTTTGATGTTAAACTTACACCCCCCCCCCTCCCTTGTTAAGTTGGAAAACAAGTTGAATCTACATGGAGACAACAGGGTCATACTTATGTACTCATTTATTTGCAGTACTTGAACATCACAGAAAAATGAACAGTATTAATTTGGAAAATGTTGAAAATATAAATAAACTTTGAAACACACGCCAAATTAGACACTGGGCATTTTAACAATCAATCCTTGCTGTGACACTTTGGAAATTCAATTTAGGCCAAACAAAAAAAATGGCGTGTTTACGGTAACGGCCTGAAAAAAAATCTAGGTAGGTAGGTAGGGAAATAATTTTATTTTGTATTTTTTTTTTTCATTTCAGTTCTGCATGCCCATGCGTGTTCTTTTGCAATTTTTTTTTATAAAACCACTATTCAAGCATTGAAGATATTCAATCGATACATTTCAATCCAAATTAATTTGTATCGTCGGCCAGGGTTCTCCCCAGGATTTTTTCAAACGTGGGGGAAGATTTGCTGTGATTCAACAACCCGAAAATGTTTGAACTTTAGAAGCTCTCTGGTGCATTTTAGAGCAAATCTGGGGGTCTTTATCTTAAGATTTGTCCTTGCAATTCAGAGGAGATCTAGTAGGTCACTAATATTTTTGTAATTAAAGAAAAAAAAAACCCGATGCGTTTGTGCAAAAATAATCGTACTTCGTAGTTTGAGAATTCAAGTTTTGAGATCGTCGCGATTTTCGCACGTCAACACAGGTATGTTTGTGTCAAAATCATGGTCAGATTCAAGTGTGGAAAATGGTTTTTGTTCGTGGCAAATAATTAAAAGTACTTGAAATGTTTGAAGTTTGTCAATTATCAACCTTCAAAATGGCAATAAAAAGTTTGAGGTCGGCAATTTGGCCGAAATAATTCCAGGTCGGTCGGGTTACCGTAAACACACCATTTTTTTTGTTTGGCCTTATGGAAAATAGCTTTATCTTAATTTGTTTTTTTAAATGTGGAAGATACGGAAACATCACAAAGGATGAACTGCGCAAAGGAAGCCTTATTCTGCGAACATGGGATGACAAAGCAAGAAAAAGTCAAGTTCGGATCATCCAATTCAATTGTCCTTGTAGAAAACATGGGGACTGGCGTATGTAAAAGCTCTCAAAAAGACCACATTGGCAAAGGCTAGAAGATAGTGAAACCAATCAACGCGCCGGATACTAGCCAAATCTCCTTCAGTCCCGACCGCTGCAGCAATGCCGTACAAGACCGCGCCCAGAAGTCCGAAGGGGTTGGTGTGCAAGACGCTGAAGATTCCTATGGAGACGACGGCCAAGGACGACACGGCCGAGACCAGGAGTTCCTCGGTGCGGGGTGCGAGAATGTCTGTTGCCTTGGACAGGCAAACCAGTGCGAGGGCGCTACCCATGTGAAGTGCGGACATGACTGAGTTTGTGTACCATCTGTGGAAACCGCTCGCCACCAACGACGTGCCGAGAATCGTGGTAATCCAAGCCAGACCTTGGTGCCAGTACAGGACCTGCGGGGAAGGGGTTGAGCGACTGAAGCGGTAGGCACCGCAGCTAGCCGCCATGCCCATCAGAATGAAGCCGGCCGAGGCGAAGAGGTTCTGACGAAGGATGAAAAGGGCCGTTCCAAAGGACGTGAGGGCGAGGACCAAGTCCGACAGCGCTGTGCTCATTTGCTGCATCTTGCTCTCTGTTGCCTTGTTCTATGATTTTTCGAGGGATACTTTTTAAAGATGATCTTGTAAGTAGTAACAAGCGAGAAGTGGCTCCTCAGTGCAACTGTGAAGTAAGCTTTTGTACAAGTTCATTTATACGTAGTCCACCTGAAATTGAAAGGACATAAAAAAGAAATTCAAGTAAAATGCAAGATCATTAACATAAACATGATAAATGAGCAGTTAGTGATAAATATACATCATGAATGAATGTGATGGGGGGGCATGGAAGGTTAAGAAATTAAGTTATGAAACATGGCATGAGTCTAAATTCCCTCCAACTCGCAGTTCGTCCAGGATAATGAAGATTCACCACTGTTCACCATGTTCACCGACACCATTTTGTTTGTTCACCACACACATAAATGATTTGTTAATCGTAGTGGCTATAAGTATCATTGCAGCAGCCGTAACACGGTTTTCAACTGCTATTGTTACAGTATTGCATAATCACCATTGAGAATCTACAGTTGAAACTACCTGTCTAACCAGAACGCTTTGGTAGTTCGATTGGTTATACCATACGTTCGACTATACGTTTTCTTTACTTTCGTGGAAAGAATGTTGCATCCTGACCTGACGCCCTTTCTTTCACCATATATCATCTCAATAAAGGTCAGTCATGGCAAAAATGTTTAAAAGACATGAACATTTCACCCAGATCCTTTCATGTTTTGTAATGTTATGAAATACTTTGAAAAATGTTCTTGACCCTCATAGACTTTGTACACAACCATCGCAGATCGAAGACGAACTGGCGTCTGGCATGTCTGGGTACATACATCATACATTCATTCCAAACCGCTTAAAATCCCACCAAAACATAACTGGATCTACGTTATGGAGATCGAGAACTCACTGTGGTCACATTCCTTGCATGCACTGCATGAGAGAACATGGAGAATGGAGGGATTCCTCCATGACACATGAGACAGCCAGGTAGCCCGACTGCGTCTGGCCGTACAGTACTATCGCAAGCTCTGTAGTACGGCCAGACGCTGAATGCTTCCAAAAAGACTGAATTTTTTGGGCCGCCGATGTAGCGATTTTGCTACATCTTTCGATCGCAATTATCTTTTCATCCAGGGCACAAATTTCCAAAGTTAAGGTTCGTAGTTGTAGAGCAACTCATACCTTTTCGAAAAAACGTTGTTTGGTCTCAATATTTTCATCCATCTGGCCACAAGACGAATTTCAGTCATCAGATTCCTCAAATATCGTCCCCCATGCGATCCCCCATGCGATTTCAAAATGGCGGCCGTGCTGTAATGTATGCAATATGCAGGCGCGCCCGCGCAAACTCATGAATATGCATAACAGTCTGTGACGTACGACCTCGTGTTTTTGGACGTGCGTGCGGCGGGCCGTACGTCCAAAAACACGAGGTTTTACGTCACAGACTGTTTATGCATATTCATGAGTTTGCACGGGCGCGCCTGCATATTGCATACATTACAGCGCGGCCGCCATTTTGAAATCGCATGGGGGATCGCATGGGGGACGATATTTGTGGAATCTGATGACTGAAATTCGTCTTGTGGCCAGATGGATGAAAATATTGAGACCAAACAACGTTTTTTCGAAAAGGTATGAGTTGCTCTACGACTACAAACCTTAACTTTGGAAATTTGTGTCCTGGATGAAAAGATAATTGCGATCGAAAGATGTAGCAAAATCGCTACATCGGCGGCCCAAAAAATTCAGTCTTTTTGGAAGCATTCAGCGTCTGGCCGTACTACAGAGCTTGCGATAGTACTGTACGGCCAGACGCAGTCGGGCTAACAGCCAGGTAGCAAGATTGAGTCCACTGCATGCATGCTGCGCGCGAAGCGAAATTCCGAAACAAAGAGCGCCGCCTTGTGACGCTTGTGAACCATTTAGAGCCTAAAAGGGAAAGATTTCCATATACATCATCATGTACGAAGTTCACTCAACACCCTGTGTACAAACCCTATGAGATTGGACTGAAAAATTCTAAGTGTTTTCTAAGAGAATTCTTGTATTTTCTCACTGCTCAAATTGACTTTGATGACATGAAATTGCTATCTGGGGGCTTTGTTAGTCAATACAGAGGAAAATTAGTGAACTTCGTATATATATGGAAATCTTTCCCCTAAAAGTGGACCCCTGGTGGCGCTATGGCGCTCTTCCTGCCCGCGAATTTCTTTTCCGTACTATAAGTAGGCGGGATGCTCCAAAGTCATGAATAATGCAATATAGTTTCATGAACAATCATTATCAAGAGCATTGTTGTTATTTAGTCAACCAGTTACCTTTAAAGCATTTAAAAGTACAGACGTCGTCAATCTACCACAGTCATTAGCCAAGAGCCGGACATGGTTCGAATCCACGTCGTCGCTGATCGGCTGCTCATTCTCTTCGACTAAATGATTTTCTTCTCTGGATTTCGTTGAGGTATAATTTTATTTTAAGGGAAAAAAAGAGAACGAGGACAAAGTGTTTTGATTTGAAACGATTAAAACTTGAAAAGGAACACTGAATTATGCATGCTTTGGGCAAACCACCTACGGAAACAAATCGCCGCCCAGCCCCTCGAACTTGAAGGGGAAAATTAGCGCGTTAAAAGTCTGATATTGGTGCATGATTTCCTTAAAAAAAAAATAGCCCTCGGAAAAGGCCTTTATAAAATTGTTACTAACGTCTCAGTTTATGGAAATTGAAAAATTGCACGACGTGAAAGGGAAATATCGTACACAAAATTGACCTCTCACTTATTCCGAAAACCTAAAATACATGTGGAGCACTCGATTGTATAGGTGAACATCATTTTGGCGGTCATTGCAGTGAGTGAAAACCGAAACTTATAGGAGACCAAAATGTCTTTTTCAGGACACACAATTGTTTTGAATGAAACAAGAAGGACTAAATCCTCATTAACAAAATGACCGTTGATGAGAACTGTATTCAAGAAAGCCAGTGAATCTAGAATCCATGGGATATGTATGTAGGCTAGGTACTAGCAGTACTAGGTAGGCAAATTGTCGGGTTATAATCGATTTTTTTCACGCAATTATATGAGTACGCGCTGTAGAAACAAACGTGATCGAAACAAGGAGACCTAGGTACGAAAATCCGGATGAGAGAGGTCGCTGAAGTAAAATTCGCTTCTAGCCATCTCCAACTGATTTCTCATCATTTTTTTCATGTGGAATGCCAAGATAAAATTCCAACATGAATGTTTCTTTGGCTGGGGTGATTACGGTTATAGAAATCGTTTTTGTCCAAAATTATAGCAAGAGAAAGGGCAACCCCGTGTAAAATGCCTTCAGAAAAGAAGGGTCCGGAAGCTCACTGAGACGAAGTGTCGTACTTTCAAGCTCTTAAAGGTGGCATTGAGGGGTTATTTTCACTGGAAATTAAAGATTATGACCTCTAGGACAATTTTCAGTTCTATTTTACCATGGATAGATCCGTCATATTTTTTTAAATTCCACTTTGAAATAAAGCCACCACCGCTAACGGTGGCCAATCCTATGGGCGTTTATTTACTGTGTGGGCATTTCATAAAATACGGGGTGATGAGTAAAAGAAAAGAAACCCGAATGGCAGGACCAATTATTTAGTTAAGTTCCTCAATGCAGCACTTTCAAAATCTGTGATATGAAAGGCCAATTAATAAGGTTTTTTTTAGTACAAGAATCATTCAAATCGCTCATGTACTTTTCAAGTTACGGCAGTTTGAACACAAACACCGTTTTAAAGGTCTGTCCAGGGATCACAGAAAGGTCAGTGTTCTTTCAGCAAGACAAACAAACAATCGATGTAGGCCTTTGTGAATTGTTTTCGTTTTCCTCAGTAAGCCAAAACCTTTTCTTGTGATCCGTGGACAGAAGTTTAAAACGGTGTAAATTTGTGTTTGAAATTCCGTAACCTGAAAAGTAGAGATTCTGGCGTCGCCACTGTGTGCATCACCTTAGATAATCATTTAGACATAAAAATGTGTTCTTTATAATTTTGTATAGGGGATATTTTAGAAACCTTTGCTTCGTCTTCGGCGGCCTCCGACTTCTAAATCACTGGGATGAAAACTAAACAAAAATATTCCAACTTTTGGCTTCATATCAACCGATTGAATGTTCCTGAAGCATTAACATGAAGTTGGGAAGACGAAAGCCAGAGTCTAGTCATTTGAAAATTATGTGCCCCCATAAAGAAATTGAACAGCGCCCTCCCTTGACCATTTTTCAAGGTTATTTTGATGTGTTTTTTTTCATTCATCGATTACACACTGCACTGGTATCACGTGTACGTCCAGCCAAATGACACAAAAGGCGGGTCAATTTTATTTGTTCACTTTGCTGTCAATGCCGTTTGTGCAATCTTGATGCGATCTACAGCGGCACACTGAAGATGTCTGCATTTAGCTGATATTAATCAAGCTGTTAATTTGCCTTAGGTAGTTTACAAACGAGGGCAAACGAGGGACCTGTTTTTTGCCCTTTCGTAGCGTAGCCGTAGACGGGGAGTTCGCGGGCCGGGGCTGGGTCGCGAAGCTCGCGAGTGATTTGCAGCCAACATGGGGTTCCTGGATATGGGCAAAATGGCCCTGTCAACGGCATTGTTCAAGCTCGTGTTAGGAGTAACGTTGTTGGGAGGTATGTACATTGCACATGTATGCCCATTAACATTATGGATTATGTGATTATCCTGCAATGGTTTTTATTGAAAATAAGCATTGTATCAAGTTTATCACTGTTTTACAAAAATTGCAAAAAAGTCATATATGATATAATTGATCATGTTGATAACATTCAATGATTCATTTATTTAGTCATGTTGTTAGTATTGAACATTGATTTGACAGTGTCTTTTAACACATTACAAAAGTTATAGTGTTCTCTAACCTATAAAAAAAATCAAACTTGGCGCCCCCGACATGCTTTCTGCGGTGCCCGCCATGCTTCAGAAGTCGCCGCCAGGCTTTAAAAACCTGCGAACATGGCCAACAAGTTAAACATTTTAGACTCATCTTTAAAACCTACGAAGACTAAGAGGGGACATCGGTGATATGAAGATTTTTATTTCGTAATACGTGCGTACGTAATATCACCTTATATACGTAATGTAAATTATTACATGATGTTATTAATTACGCACATACGTATAGTAATAGTGTACATGCACTATAAAAGATATTTAAAACAGTTAATGAGTTACAAAAATTATAGGCCTACATGTAAATATTCCACCTTATTCCTGTTCCCCTGTAGCTGCAAAAATACAATGTTAAAATTTTATTCTTTTGATTTAAACTTCAAAACTTTGAAAAAAGTGTACTGCATTTTGTGTATTTAACTCAAGAACTGTGGTAAGAAAATTGGGAAAGTTTCAATGAATGTGCAGACTTGCAAGTTGTATGCTCCCTTGTGAATAAACAGTAGATCACGGTGCTTTTTTACCACTTTTTGAGAGCCGGTAAAAAAGGAAGCGGGCGGGGACGAGCAACTTCTTCATTTTTTTACTTGACCTCAAAAAAGAAAGGGAATTTTGATGCCCCATGCATCCAGAAATGTTCATTGTAATCAACAGCAGAAATGAACTTTGATTAATTAAACATCAGATCCATGTGGCATTGTGAGGTTGTTGCTAAGAAGAGTGCAAACACCGCATGGTCCCTGGAGAAATCAGATTCACACTAATGTGGCAAAGCAGCTGCACTAGATCCTGCAGAGATCATTACGGCCGATTGCTGCTTGTTAGATTGATACCTGGATTAATTAATGAAATCTTCGGATCTGTCGCCAATAGTTCTATTCTAAATGTCAATATAATTTACATGAACATTGTTTGGCTGAATAGTTCACACGTCATGATGTGCGTGTGCACATAATTCTCTGTTCATTAAAGGGAATGTGCATCATTCGCTTTAGCTGTAATTTTCAGAAATGAACTATTTGAGGGGTTAGTATAATAGATCAAATATTGTTACACTGACATGTTTCAAGTTTTGTGTTGGAAAATGCTGGAAAAACCAAGAAAAGCAAAAATGTTCAAGTAGTCTGTTTAAAATGGATCAATTTATAGATGCCGGAAAATTGTAAGGCAAGGGAACCAGTTTAGCTGGCCTGCGCCTGTTCATGAACATGTAACCAATGTAGCAAACAAAATTTGGACTGGAAAAAATGGTATATTTGGAGCAGTAGTTGAAAAATAGTTTTCCAATGGTGGCCGACCACCGTTGGAAATGTATGCAAAAATACCATTTTTTCTTGAAAATGACTTCACACCAGGTGCCATAATTTTACAGGATGCTTAAGACTGTCATTTACCAACATCCTACCTAGAAGTAAGGTATTTCGTAAAAACTTTGTAGTTTTATTTTTGGATGTTTGCAAATGTTGTATACATGTATGTATTCCCTTTAATAAAAACGTTCATTTGTTAACCCTAACCCCCTTAATCTTACTTTAGGGTAAGGTACATGTACCACATACTACATAAAGTATGTAGGACTACAGAAATGATACTATGTGCATGTATGGAGCACCCAAATACTAATAAATATTATGAGTGCTGTGCCCACTTACAACATGTACACGTATACGTACATATGCTGAAGTACTGCATACTACAGTTTAGTACTATTTACAAAATGTAGGTGAGGTTTATACATGTAGGTCAAAGCATGGAGGAATAATAAACACAAGCAAGCATTGCAGAGCGTGCAACTTCAACATGTATGGCAGAAATGGTTGAAACTGAAAGAAGAAAAAGGGCCAATGAAATTATACGTGTGCACTTGCAAACACAGCCATACACGTGTACAGTAGTCCCTGAAAAGATTGCAAAATTTTGCTTCTAACTCTTGAGCATTGCCAGCATAAAATTGACGTGTACGTACATGTGTCCCAGCTCTATGGTACTTGTGTAAATGTGCAGGTCACTGAAATGTACAGATTTTTGACAACATGCACATGTACACATACATGTGCAAATGGTACATACAAAGTATTTACACGAACATTATATGTGCAGTCTTGGTATTTTCGTTTTGCTAACTTAAGTTGTAGACCCTATTGACCTATCGCGAGTTAGCCATGCCCCTTAGACAAGCCTATGGAATTTTGTACGTTCAGTTTTTGTTTGTCTCAGATTTTGTGCGTTCCGCGTCTATGTAAAACATATCATGTATGTAATTGGACAATATTTTACAAGCTGCGTTGACATGATTCTACCGCGATACGTTAATTCTGTGGTAAACTTTGAAATTAAATAATGTAGTTATTTTAAAATAGAATTAAAAAAATAAAGTCTCTATGATTTGTTCAATAAAAATAACAATTTTGGGGGGGTAAATTTTGTATGGATTTTTTTGTCAACAACAGTGCTTCATTACATACATTACATTCGAGCAAAATAGGAAGTCATTAAACCACTTCCTGTATTTCATGCACATAATGGTTTAGTTACAGATTGTCACATGATCGCTCTGAAACTAATCTCAGACTCTGCGTTTTGTATACTAAGTCTTATTTGTGTGTTTGTCAGTATGAATTTCTGCAGTACATTTGAAATTGAAAGTGATTTGGGTAGTTTTGAAAGGTGCAAGCAGCTGCAGATGTATGGGTGCATGCACAGGCAGTCCTTGTGTCGCTTATGATATTGTTGGGAGTACAATAATACATGTATAATGGGCTAATATGATATAGAACAGAAGAGGCGTTAAACGCTTTGTAATACATGTTATGATTCATCAACTGATGTACGTGGTACCCTGTTAAAATACTGTTTGGAGGGTAACAAAAAAATTAAGAAACAAAAGAAGTACTTTTTAGAATCTTGAGGCAACAGCTGTCGCGGAAGACCGAGCATCATCCTGGCCACATTCAGAGCGTTATTGTGCACAGCGCTGTAAAAACTGACCTGTATTTTTGCTGAAAAATCCCAAGGTCAGTTGCAGGCACGCTTCAGCTCGGGGTGTGGACGCTCATTTGCGAACAAAGCACTATGATGCATCGTGCGTGCCTCGTGCAGTCTGCGCGCAGCACAAAGACTATCGACTGTTGAATGCGTTAGTAGCGGAACAATGGACCTACCCATAGGCATAGGATATTGTTATATGTGGCAATAAGTATGGCCTTGGAGTACATGTAGCTGCTCATTTTTGTGTGTGTGTAAAATATAAGTAAATATTTTCTTTGTGAAATGTGATTGTGCTGATTTGTGCAGTGTATATAAATTTAATATTTATGAAATTTTATGTTATTTTTACTCTTTCTTCTTGTGAATTTAATTTTTTGGTTAATTTAGGTGAAATTACTAATTTGTGTAATTTTTTGTTCATTGTTCAGATAATGGAGAAAACATACACAAAATAAACATGTAAAAAAAATCTAAATTAAATTTAAAATAGCACTTTTGTGAAAAGAAAATGAATTTAGATCCATTTTAAAAGGGGAATTGTAAGACTGATATACCAATTTGTTAAGAAAATTCGTCAAATTTAGTCTGTGGACATTACACACTGTCCCCCAGCATGCATCCATACCTCCAAGTCCAACAGTAAAAAATAAACTAAGGCAAACTGAAATGAAATTCACACATTTGTACAAAAATCTCCCATTCACCACACCCCCTTCCTCAACGTGAATACTATGCTGATGCAGCGCAGCCGCACGTGCTGAGCACTGCTCTTCACGCTGTGACACCAGCGTGGCAAACAGACCGCCATCATTAAGGTCTCGGGTGGCGCCCGTTTTCACCGTCCGCTGGCGACCCGCTATGCATTTGTGCACATGACACCAGTCGAGATTGGAGCGACCGATAATGAAGGCCCACAGCGGCAATGCAAGCAGATCAGGATATCACACGAGGACAGTCAGGCGTTCATAATAACATGAATAAATATTGATCTATTTTGTAGGCCTACACAGGCTATTGTTTACCGGTTCGGATCAATTGCACGTCTGTCTTTGCATTCATGTCTGAAGGATGCTCTTTGTGTTCAATAGTGCTCAGCACATGCCAGACACATCAATGAGTTGTATACAAACATTAATGTTTCCAATAAAGTTGGTACTTCATCAAAGGATCTGTTTTAAATTGCTTTTATCATTGAGTGCATTTTTAAAATAGCAATTTGCAACGTTTGGTAGCTCTTTAGTTTTTAGGTGAAAAATCTCTCGTTGTTGGATAAAATTACATCTCTGGACACATGTCATTTTATACTGTAGCACAAATGTTATTTTTGAATGACTAAATATTTTGGCTTTTTTAAGTGGAAAATCAAATGTGCAACCGAAGTACCCAACTACATTTACATTATAAAAAGACTCTGGTACCCAGTATGTACAAAATGTATGTGAACAGCATAACAGAATTCAACACAAATCCACCCTGTTTTTTTTTCTTCCATGTCTTGAATTGGGACACGTACTCTACGGGTATGTTTCAGGAAATGCATCCATTTTCAGAACTTGAATAGTATACATAATTGGATTTGTGAACTTAGTGATATTCCCGTTGCAGTACTCTGTTAAGTGTGGACCCTGCTGACTGCTGTGTCAAAAAAAAACATGCTATTTTGCCTTTCACATAGTATTTTAAGAAATGCTTTTGATCATGTGGTTGGATGCCAAGTAAAACGACTCAAGTG